TTCTCCACTGTCAGCGCAATTTAAATGAATTGAAAATTCTGCTGAATTATGCTGTTCCCATGGATAAAATATTACATTTATTATATGCGGTTTATATATGACATATTTTCATATTTTAGTTCATATGCATATCATGATTTCAAATAGAATTATGGAATATACATACATACATATATATATGTATATATAGCTGTATATTTATTTGTCAAATGTCAAATGTTTTTTATTGCTGCTGCATTTGCTGTTCTTTTAATGTAATTATTTAAAGCATTTAGCCAACGGCCCAAAAAAGAAGAAACACGTGAGCAACAACAAAAATAATAATAATAATAACAAAGGCAATTAAACACTGTGATTAATGCACGAAAATCCATTATGAAGCCGTAAAATGAGGCATAGCCGACTGCAGGATACTTGTTTATAACTGACAAGCTTGGGAATAATATATTAAATATTTATTTGAATTATAATTTGAAGAGAAAAAGGTTTTAATGTATTACAAAAAATTAGACATTGAAATAAAATTAAATTAAATAATTATAAAATTTATTAATTAATAATTATTAATTTAATATATTTCATATGAGAAAATTACATAATTTATAGGCATTTATTTATATAGAGATGAGTTCTAGAGACCTTCGGTAGCCTAAATGCTGTGATATAGTATGTGGTCTGAGTGCTTTGATAAACCCTTTTTCCAATGGGTTCAAGCATAAATAATATATGAAAATATTCTCCATTTCGCACATATACATACACATTGTGTATTCTTTCATTCCACATTTCAAGGCTCAGGCAGGCAGACGAATATTGTGTGAAGCCAATATACTCTGCTGACAGTTTGTGATAGAGGTAAAAATATATTGAAAGCTGGTTGCCAACGCAACATCAGTCAAGGGGCCGAGCGGCAAACCTTTTTGTTTTTGGGGTCAACCACGAAATATATACACATACATATATGTACATCATATATGAATGGATATATACATACATACACAATATTGTTTACATATCGATGTATGTGGGCTGTTTGGCTTTACTGGGCGTATGGTTGATATTCTTGTTGTTGTTGTTGTTGCTGTTGTTGCTTATTCATACATATGCATGTGTCGGAAATTGTAACGATTATACGCCGGACACACACAGGAAACGGCGTAAATCCCCCCTTTAACACATTTAACCAATTCAGTCATAGACTATCGCTATCTCTCTCTCTCCCTCTCTGTTTCGCTCGCTCTCTCCTTTAAGCCATCGAACATTATTAGCGTTTATTGGAGCTCTGCTCATCAGATGCCGTGGCGTGGCGTGACAAAGCGTGTCGCAACATTTCATGTTGTTTCGCTGTCATTTGCTCTTGAATGAAATTTAAAATACGCCAGCCTCTCAAGTCGGCTCTCTGTATTACAGCGGGCCTTGTCGATGATTCTTATAATGCACTTTTAATTAAAGCAAATAGGAAGAAGATAGATTGCAGACATAAATCAGTTGATGGCGCAGCGCAGCGAAATTGAAGCCAAACAAAGTCATTAAAAGTTTTGCCGTGACTTTTGCAGTTGCCTCTAGAAAACTTCACCAGCAGAACTGATGCAGTCAGTCGAGTGAGTGATAGGAAAAGACAGAGACAGTGATAGTGAAATACATATCTCTATATATATGCATATATTAGAAAGAGGCAGGGAAACCAAGAGAGAGAGGGAGAGAGAGAGAGCGAGAAGGTAGCTCCTTGTATTTGCATCTGAAGGTAACTCCGCCCACCTCCGTTTGTTGAGCTGAGAAAGCAGTTCATTATAAATTTGTTGATGCTGCATATCTCGAGCTCTATGGCTATGGCCGTGGCTGTGGCTCCTTCTGGCTTCACTGCCTGGCAGGATGTGCTGCAGCACATCGTTTCCTGCCAGCTGCTGCTGCCTTGGCCGTATCTGTAGCTTTTTATGCAACAGCAGCATCAGCAGAAGCGAAAGCCATCTCTTTGGCATTTCATGCTCGTCGTCGTCGTCGTCGTCGTCGTCGTCTTTGGTTTTAGCTATGATGCGGGTTTACGAGCACCAGGAACTTGTCTAAAAATCACGCATAATTTATTTACCATAAACAAGATGAAGAAACAAGCAAAGTCAAATGTGAGGGTGGCCGCAACGGGGCTGTCCTTGGCACACCCAAAGGAACTACGACGACGACGGACGGACGGATGGACGAACGGACGAACGGACGGACGGTTGGTTGGTTGGTTGAAGCTCGTTAATGTTGCGAAAAGTTGTTGCCTGTCATCGTTTCACTTTGCCACATGTGCCGCTGCAATATAAAGTATACGCAGAGATTGGCTGGCTCGCATTGCTGTTCAAATTATGATGATGATGATGATGCTGTTGTTGCTGCTGCGGCTGCCACAGAATATGCAACATTGAAATACAACATACAAAATGCAAGCGTTGTGAAAAATTGAAGGAACGCAACAGAAACAGTCAGCAGGAGGAGGAGGAGGGGGAGGAGGAGGAGTAGGAGCTGGGGTGCTGTTGGTAAACGAGCTGAAACTGAAAAGCGAGCACAGCCATAAAAATCGTTTTATCTTCATTAGAGGCTGGCTGGATAAAAAATAAAACAGCCAACAGCCAGCAACACTCACACACACTCAGAGAGCTAAAAGGATTGCCGTGTGGATAACTAAAGCCTGATCATCGAATAATATACCTTGCTGAAAGCTCATACGGATCACTATTAAGAAAATTGGGTCACACACACCCAGTGAGAGAGTGAGAGAAAGAGAGAGAGAGAGAGAGCGAGATTGAGAGTGGGGACGAACAGCTTAGGCAACTCCGCAAGCCACCAACCCACTCAGACAACAAGCTAAACAACATGAAGCATGAAGTCTCTGCATGCATTGAATAATAAATGCAATGAAAATAAAAATAAAAACTCACTGAAGAACACTGAAACAGCGCTGGCAGAGCTCGAGCCAGCAGCCAGCGAGCGGACGAGCGGGCGAGCGGGCGAGCGAGAGAATATAAAAATAAAAGAGAGATAAAAAGAAAAATAAAACGAAAATATAAAGATAAAACGCTTGATGCTGGGATAAATGGCAGATGCATGTAGACACGAACAGGAACTGCAGCACCTCAAGGATAAACAGTTGAGCCAGCAAGTGGATACATGCAGGTGCTGCTGCCGCCGTTGCTGCTGCTGCTGCATGTGGGTGGGCAAACAAGTTAAGGGGCCGTAGCTAGCCCCAAAGCAAACGAAGCACAGCTCGGCTCTTAAGTGAAATGCAATAGCAGTTAGACCAGAGCAGAGCAGACCAGAGTAAGGCATGAATCCACATGGCATGGTATCCATCTACAGCTATAGATAGATAGACAGACGACTAGGCCAGTCGTCCCATCAATGTAAACACATGGCAGTTAGCCTTCGCTTGCCCGTTTGCCCGTTTGCCGTTTACGATTCATTGAGGGAGGGCAAAGGTTAAACCCATTTAAGCGACAATTGAGCGCAATTAAGGCGAGCGAAAACACTGAAATCATTTTAGATGTTAACTGCCATATAAACGGCTGAATGCAGCCGACTAAAGCTATGATCATTAAGCTGTAATCATGAGGATATCATATAGATATTGAGAGAAATTTCAGCAATTCGAAATCATCGAGAGGTCATTGAAATCGTGCTGGTAATTACGTTTGTAAAATATGAAAGCATTTTCTGTTATAGTGCGGAAAATTGAAAGCATTTTCTATTATATTTTGCAAGCTGTGAACAAAAAGCAAATGAAAATTCTTATAAAAGAAAAACTGTTTTAGATATCAATTTGTTTCTGGTTTTGCATTGAAGCTGCATTCATGCTATTAGAAGAAACAATATGAATGGCTGAATATGAATATGAATTCAATATGAATAGCAGAGAATAGGATTCCTTGCGTCTGTCTTGGCTGTCTTTAAGCTTATGGTCAAATATGGCTTCACTCTGTTTAGCATTTACGATTATGATGATTATAGTAAAAGCATCTCAAATCTAATTTCCTGTTTCTCTTAAATCTACTTTCTTGCTGCTACATCAGTTTTGTTTGCTATGTCAATAATTTTTATATAAATTCTTCTTATCAATATCTCTATCAATCCTTATCTTTAAACGCAACACAATGCGTTCAAGGTTCAACTTTTTACTGTTGTTTCGAATGCCGGCTGACTGCACAACAAAATTAGCTGTATATATGAACAGCTTAGCCAGTATTTCGGTAATTGTTTTTAATTATTGCCACACGTTCGACAGCTGTCAGATGATTCATAATCTAATGACAAATCATATTGAATAGAACAACAGTTGTATATTAGCGATAGTTGAAATATTCCTCTGGCTCTTGTTTATCACTAACCTGACTTTCGTAATTATTAATTAATTGAAAAGATGTCTACTTGAATTTATGAAATTCAAAATCGATTTTTCTGCCCACTTAAATCAGAAAAGCAATTAAATTTCAATGAAACTCGGTGCGGAAAAAATTTTAATATACTTGATAGACTTGCAAACCTTTGGTGGAATACAGAAATGCATATAGGATATATATGTATATATTATATATATGCTACACACATTGTTTTATGTGGCGGCAATTTCAATGTGTGAGCGCATAGCAAATGAAAGAAAAAGGAGAGGGGGAGAGGAAGAGAGAAAAAGGAAAAAAAAAACAGAAAAAATTTATTGAAAATATTTGCATGAATGAAGTTGTACAATGGGCACATCCCACACACAAACACACACACACATACACATACACACGCACGGCAGGTGTGTGCAAATATGCAGATGCGCAGCCAAAGGTAGAGTATTGAAAATCGGGCATTGGCGGGCGGAACGAAAGTCGAGCAACTTAACGAGCCGCTGCACACAGATTGCTTCAGTGTTTTCTTGTGCATTTGCGAATGCACATTTTGATTAATGCTGGTTCTTTCTCTATCTCTCTCTGTATCTCTCTCTCACTCACTCTCTTGCTTTGGCATTTTTATGTTTGCAGGCGAAACGCATACAGAGCAATGAGCTGGCCGCCATCAAAGTCATTAAGCTGGAGCCCTCCGACGACATACAGATCATCCAGCAGGAGATCTTCATGATGCGCGACTGCCGGCACCCGAACATCATTGCCTACTACGGCTCCTATCTGCGGCGCGACAAATTGTGGATTTGCATGGAGTACTGCGGCGGTGGCAGCCTGCAGGATATCTATCAGGTGACCGGGCCGCTGACAGAGCTGCAAATTGCGTACATGTGCCGCGAGACGCTGAAGGGCCTGGAGTATCTGCATCAGAAGGGCAAAATGCATCGTGACATCAAAGGCGCCAACATTTTGCTAACCGAGAATGGCGACGTGAAGCTAGCCGACTTTGGTGTCTCCGCGCAGATAACAGCCACAATTAACAAGCGAAAGAGTTTCATAGGTGAGTGTGAAGACAAATAAAACAATATTCATATGTGATAGTGTAAAGCCAATCATATAATAATATAATATATAACACTAATATTCTATATATTCAGAAATATCCCCAAGATTTTTGTATATACAGCTTTTAGTTGTTTGCCAACGCTGCGTATGCTTAATAAAGTTAACTTTCTACAGTCTATTCAGACAGCGAGTCGAGTGTATATTATTAGCAAATTCTCTATATTTTTACGTAACTCTAATAATATCATTCAAGATAATGTGTAAAGTTATTCAATTTTAATTAGTGCATCGCACACGCTGCGTATGCGTAATATAATTGCATTGCTATCGCAACTCGACTCAATCATAAAGCTAACAGCTCTAAGCATAAATAAATGAAATAATAATCATATAATGCTTATCGAATTTCCAATTTGTGTGCAAATATTCAGTTAGCGCACGCTGCGTATGAGTGATGTCGTTATTTGGTTTGCATTCAAATTGAAGCACTTAACACATTTAAATATATGCAATACTTGTTGCCCAGCATAACGGAATTGAATAATTTAGTTCGGAGAACTTTATCAATTCATAATTTGTTTGTAAATATTCAAGTTTTATTTAGCTACGCTGCGTATGCGTGATATTGAGATTTTAGCCAGCAGCTGCAATTGGCCCAAGGCGTTTTAGCAGCGCTTTATTTATTTATGAACTTAAATAGAAATGTGCACAGGACACACTTTCAGCTCAGACCCAGCACCTTGTTGTTGTTGTTGTTGTTGTTTTTGTTGGTTGTCTGTTATCTGTTGTTGTCTGCGTTGCAAATATTGGGCTGCTAACAAATGCGCAAACTGTTGCAACAGCTGCGCTCGCTGTGCGGCACACGATTTATGCAAATGGAATAGAGGCGATTTTTATGACTATGTGCAGATGTACAAATGTATGCGAATAATATTTTGGCATTATTTCCACAACAACAAATATGAGCGATGGAGCGAACGAAAGCATACGGACAGACTGAAAGAGCAGAGCGACAGAGAGAGAGAGAGAGAGAGAGAGAGAGAGAGAGAGACGAAAGAGTAAGACATGCTGCATCGATTTAGCTTAGGTGTTTATCATTGTGTAGAAATGCAGAAGCAGACATGTTAGCTCACACATACACTCACACATAGAGAAGGAGAAGCATGCTAAGAAAGGGACTCTTTGACAGGATTCTGACAGTAACCGCAATTGCTTTTCACGCTTTTAAACACTTGCACAACAACAGCCCCAAAACAAACAAACAGACAAACAAATAAGCATGAAAAAAGAATAGCAAGGAGCAAAGCGAGAAAGGAAAAAGAAGATATGATATATGCTGAATGACAGACTAGCAAATACTACGTATTATATGAAAGTCCAACAGAAAAACAGCAATTAAATGCTTAAAGGATATCAGAGAGAGAGAGAGAGAGAGAGAGAGAGAGCGAGAGAGAGAGTGCCAAAAAAGCGTGTGAAATAAACAATGGAAAATGAAATAAATTGCCAAGAAAAATAAAGAACTCAACTGAGCTGAAGTAATAAGAATAATAATGTGCGTGGCTTAGAACAATAATAATCACTTGAGTAAAAAAGTGCCAAACGCACAGCTGAGCGAGACAAATAGCAACTGATTTAGAGAACGAAAAGAATGAGAGAGAGCGCGTGCGAGTGTGAGAGTGAGAGAGCGAATGAGTGAGTGAATAATTTAAAGGCATGTGAAAGAATTCAATTTAAAACGAAAATATCAACTGCAGACATGGCCCAAGCAAACATAAGCGAGGACAACCAACAACTCGAGGCCAGGCAGACAGGCAGACAGGCGAACAGGTGGACAGAGGTAGCTAGGCTGGCGCTGGACAGTCACCGTTTCAAGCATTGTTAGCTGCCTGCTGTGCAGTGCGGTGCGGTGCGGTGCGGTGCTTCAGCTCCCATTGAGTTTTCATTTTGTTGCCAAACTCAGTGGGAAAAAGAATGTAATTTCTTAAAAATGTCCCTTTTGGGGCTTCTGGACTTGGTCTTTTGTTGAACTGGCAAGAGTCTGGTCTTGCATGAGTGCCACTCTGCCTCTCTCCCTCTCCCTCTCTCTCTCTCTCTCTGTCTGTCCCTCTCTCCGTTTCACTCACTCATATCTGCACTAATAGATTCTTTTTGCTGCGCTGCGTTAAGCAGCTTTCGGCTCAAGGCAAGCGAGGCGAGCAAGGCTTCGCTTTAAGACTTGAGCAACGGGTTGTATACGTAATTTATATGTAAATATTTACTTATCAGGCAAGCGTGCAGCCGAGATGAAAGTCTGTAAGCCTTGTCAATCTTATTATAATTCCAAATTTAGAAAATTCTTCTCTTACACACACACACACACACGCGCACACACACACACACACACACATTTACCCATTGCGCAAGCCTGAGACTGAGCTCAAATCAAGCGAACCGTTTGGCTATTGGTAAACTATGTAACCGAAATGGATGAGTAGAGGCTTTTGTTTTGGTCAGCCTTAATCTGTGACGTAAATCGGTTGAGTGCTCGCTGGGCTGAGCAGTTAATTAAGTTCTTGAATTCTCGGCGAGTGCACTTGATAAAAGGAAACTTTGCTGACTTCTGACCGTTTGAAGCGACGGCTAAGAGGGGCGCGTTAATTAAATTATGACAGCTGCCCCGTCGACAAGCGCGTGCCTCCTGCCAGCCACGCCCCATTCGTATTTGCTTGAAGCAGTCAATAAAGCGTAGAGCGCAGCGGGAAGCGGTGTGGAGTTGACATTTGAGTTGTGACTGCAATAAAAAGCAAAGACGCCGACGAAGACGATGACGAAAAAGGTTTTATGTCAGCAGGGATTTATGCAGAGAGCTTGGGCATATCCTGGCCTTGCACAAGGTTGGGTTTAGTGCTTAATGCGTTCGCTGATGTCGTAAAAAAAATCTCAATGTTTGCGCATAAATTTCAAGATTTGACAGCGTTTGAGCTCGTTTCATCCAAACGATTTGCTGCTAATTGTAAGCCCGTAATGTGATTTATGTTGTCTATAAAATCTACTGCAAAAGTCATTAATAATATTGAGTAATGCCTGTAGATGGACACTAATCGTTTTTATTCGCTCCCTGTGCGAATTAACGATTCCGTTTAACCAGAGAAGAGATAGAGAGAGAGAGAGAGAGAGAGAGAGAGAGAGAGAGAGAGAGAGAGAGAGAGAGAGAGAGAGAGAGAGAGAGAGAGAGAGAGAGAGAGAGAGAGAGAGAGAGAGAGAGAGAGAGAGAGAGAGAGAGAGAGAGAGAGAGAGAGAGAGAGAGAGAGAGAGAGAGAGAGAGAGAGAGAGAGAGAGAGAGAGAGAGAGAGAGAGAGAGAGAGAGAGAGAGAGAGAGAGAGAGAGAGAGAGACAGAGAGAGAGAGAGAGAGAGAGAGAGAGAGAGAGAGAGAGAGAGAGAGAGAGAGAGAGAGAGAGAGAGAGAGAGAGAGAGAGAGAGAGAGAGAGAGAGAGAGAGAGAGAAGCAGAAACAATCTCTCACATGTCAATAGCTGTGGCAGCGACCCAATGAGTGTCAGGATGCTGCAAATGACAAACAGACAGAGAGACAGACAGACAACGACGGGCAAAGGGCATATGTAAGCGAGATGCAGACGATTGTCTCCTGAGTGTCTGCCCCTGTCTGTCTGTATGTGTGTGTGTGTGTGTGTGTGTGTGTGTGTGTGTTTGTAGTTGTGTCTGCAGTTGGCAAACAATGTTGACTGTCGCTCAGTTTTATCATTTCGAGAGCTCCTTCAATACACGACATTGTTGCTATGACAAATGTGTTGATAAACACACACACACACACACACAGAGAGAGAGATGAATCTGGTGTCTGTGTCTGCTCCGCTCTGTCTATCATAGTGTCTGCATATGAAACCGCAAACAGAACAAATAAAACAGACACACAGACACATCCACACACACACACACATACACATAAACACCAACTCTATTACAGACGCTGTAACGGCTGCTGCAGGACAACGGCGACTGCTGCCAGCTAATGTCTTATCATTTAATAAAAATAATCAAAAAGCGTGCTTATGCCTCTGTTTAGTGCCACTTAAAAGTCAGCTGCAACCAACGGCACTCAGCGCCATCAACGGGATTGTCAGGCTCGTTGTCACCTACTCTCTGCTGTGGCCGAGCTGTCGGGCCGAGCTGGCAGCAGCTGAGCTGGCGACAGCCGTGTCTACATGCAATAAAGCCAAATGTGATTCTCGACTCGGCTCAAATCTCACACACACACACACACACACACACACACACACCACACACTCACTCTCTCCCTCGTGCATTGGTGTACGAGTCTCAAGAGCTGAAACTATTTGCCTTTTGCTTGTGCTTGATGGAGCGTATCGAACTCCTTATTTTCAGTGTGCCTCTCTTTGTTGTAGACCTGCATATTTCACGGCAGTCAATGTGCTTGCTAGCTGTCTCTCTCTCACATTATCATTATCACAATATCATTCTCTCAATTTTAATCTCTCTCTCTCTCTCTCTCAGTTTCACTCTGTTCTTCTCTACATTTCTCTATCTGCTATGCTGAATATCTTTTGCTTTTCCTCTGTCGCTCCCTCGCTTTATCTCGTCTTATTCCTCTCTCCTTCGCGCACTTTTTCAATGTCAATCCCTAATTTTGCCTCTTCTCTGTGCCTCTTGGTCTTTATAATTCTAGCTTTCTCTCTCATTCTCACTCTTTTTCTCAATATACACTTTCTGCATATATTCTTCTGTCTTCTTCAGTCCCTCTTAATCTGTCTGTATTTTCTTAACTGTTTCTCATTGTCTCTCCAGACATAGAGTCCAATATTTAATACCTGTCCAATAACAAATATCTGTCACTCTCAACTCACTCTTTATGTCCTCGTTCTCATTCTTCCCTTATCTGTGTCCTTGTCTGTCTCTATCTCTCCCTCTGTCTATCTCTCTGTTATGCCTTCTAACTTTCTCTTTCTCTCTCTCTCTCTCGCTCTCTCCCCCTCTCTTCGTTATCTTATAAATCTTTCTCCCTCTCTCTGTCTCTCCTGGCCATCTCTCTCTATTTTCGTTAGAGAGTATCTATTAATTGTGCAACGCTCGCAGCAGACATTCAATTAACAGAATTGCTGTCACTTTTGTGTCCTCATCGCTCACATTTTAATTAAATTGTGCGCCAACTGTGGCCACTGTTGTCACATGTAGTGAGAGCATTTAATTCTGAATGCGGAATTGTGGTATGTGGCATGCCCCAATCTCAATTAAGGCATTTTATCATTCTTTTTTTTACCTCTGCTGGTGTTTGATTGAATAAAATTTTTATGTAACGGAATGCATAAGAATAAAAAACAAAAATATGTAAATTACTTAATGCTAGCTTAAAGGTATATATTAGTTAGGGTATCTGCCAGTCAGGCATACCCGAATACAAACTAACATTAAGCTAACTCATATTGTTTGCTATACCGTAACTCATCCACATTTGTTCTTCTTCTTCTGCAGGCACGCCCTACTGGATGGCGCCCGAGGTGGCCGCCGTGGAGCGAAAGGGCGGCTACAATCAACTCTGTGATATTTGGGCCTGCGGCATTACGGCAATTGGTGAGCAGCATTCCTCATTGACAGTGGCAAATTGATTGCACTTGATTCAATGTTTCTCTCTCTCTCTCTCTCTCACTCTCTCCCTCTCTCACACGATTAGAACTGGCTGAACTGCAGCCGCCGATGTTCGACTTGCATCCGATGCGCGCCCTGTTCTTGATGTCGAAGAGCGGCTTTAAGCCGCCGTCATTGAGCAACAAAGAGAAGTGGAGCCCAACGTTTCACAGCTTCATCAAGACCGCACTGACAAAGAATCCAAAGAAGCGACCAACCGCCGAGCGGCTGCTCCAGCATCCCTTTGTACAGAGCGAGATGTCGCTGCGAGTGCCCAAGGAGCTGCTCCAAAAATACCAGAGTCCCAATACGCCATACTACTATCTCGACGGCGACGAGGAGGTAAACACTGCCCCATTCCCCATGCCCCACGCCCCAACGAGAACGGACTGTGCCCCCGAATGCCTTTTGCCACCTTATTTCATTTTTTGTTCCTTTTCTTACGTAATTTATTTGCGCTTTTAGCGCTGCTTCGCTGCCTGGCTGCCTCTTGCCTGCCCCAGTTATATTTACTTAGTTCGCCACAATGGCAGCAAGTCCTGAAGATTTAGTGGCCCATTAGACACCTTGAATCCTAATTTAAGGGCTCGACTACCCGAGGCAGTGGCCCTAATCATTTTCGCTACGCCGCAAAATCAATACGCGCTGAGTGCGCAGAGTGCAAGCGAAGAAGTTTTGAAATAGGCCAGGTTAAGTAGGAGTAAGTCCTGCACGGGGCTCCAAACTTCTTGGAAGTGCTGCGATACAGTCCTGATCTGGCAGTCGACGAAGCTGCTAAAACTAAACAATTACGACGTGAAATCTAAGCTAAGCAACTAAGTTTCATACCTTAAAAGTAAAGTTTGGGTTTCGTTCTATCGAGAGGCTAAGGAACTCGAACTCAATATATCGTATGTATATTATATATCTGTATATATTATCAACATAGCTAGGGCACTTGGAAAAGAAAGTTAATTTATGTAGTGAAGTTAACTCGATTAAGATAACCGCTGAGCTGTTTGAATAACTTGCCCAGCTGAAATATACCCTAACTTTGAAAAATTTTGAATCTGAATTAATATTGAAACTTAAACTTGAATACATTTTCATATTTCTGTTTGATTCAAAAGCTAATATGCTATCTAAACAACACAGCTGCAATATACCCCAACTTCTATTCAATTTTAGTGTCTTTATTCGTTTCCATTCAAACTTGAAACTCAAATTCAGATCAATTTTCATATTCCTCTTCAGCTTCATTCCTTTCGAATAAGCTGAAGTGCAACTTAGCCTAACTTTCATTCCATTCAAACCTAAACTCCAAGATATATTCATAATTTTGTTCAGCTTCTCTTTAAGCCTCATTCCCAACTTCAGTATACCCTAACTTTAACTGATTTGCCTATAGAAATAAAATACATATTTATACTTGTTATTAGTTTATACTAATTTTCACATTTTAGTCGAGCTGTTGCGGTTAATTCGATTAAGTTACCTGGAAGCTGGCTTAAATTAAATTTAAAATTTAAATGAATTTTTATAATCTTGAAGACATTTGGCTTATGCATTAATGTCCTCGTCGTCGTCTAGACGTCCGAGTTCGTCTAGGAGTCGATTGGGGGCTCCACAAAGCCGTGTCTAACAAATGCAAATTTAATGAAGGACCAATTTAAAAAGTCATTTGTGTGTGTGTGTGTGTGTGTGTGAGAGGATGGATGTGCCTGTAGGCGGCATGTCAATTCATAAATCTTCAATTTGTTTGGCTGTTTTGCGAAAACTTTGCGCTGTCAGTCACTGTCCGAGGCGACGGCGCTTGCTTAGCTCTTCGCAGTCAACTTGCATTATATACATATATATCGTAATATATATATATATACATATATATGCAAATTTTACTTAGTGCCAAGTTTTGTTATGGCCAGGCGTAACGCATGTCTCAGCTCGGCTGGCAGTTTAGCTCTTTCCCCGACAGGAGGGGCCTGGGCAGGGGCAGGGGCGGACGAATATGATTTTGATTTATGAGATTTTATCGTAAGCTGAAAACTTTGTCACCAGCGACTGGCCAAGCGTCCCACAGTCCCAGCGTCTGTCATTAAAACTAACTTTGACTTACGCCACATTCTCCACCTGCTCTAGCACTCAATCTCTCTCTCTCTCTCTCTCTGTCTCTCTCGCTCCTTTGCAGACGGTGGCCGGCGTACCGCAGCGGATTCCCAGCAAAATGACGTCGCGTGCCAATGGGGTTCCGGCACAGAACCACACGCTCAAAACAGGCAAGTTAAGAGGCGAGATCTGAAAAATGGGGAAAAGAAAAAAAAACAGAAAGGGAGGAAATTAAATGTATTATTAAAATTTGCAATTTGCATTTCGCAGGCATGACGACAAACTCGACGTGGTATGAGCGTTCTTCTAGTCCCGAAACGTTGCCCAGCGACATGTAAGTTGGCCCAACTACATTTTTTTTATATACATACATATATATCGATATGAATCGCATACAATATCGAAATCGCGTTGCCTGAAAACTTTGCTACAGCCTTTTTTTTTGTTTTCATTTGACATCTCTTATTTACCAAGATTCGCATTTGCTGGCTTCTCTTTTGTTAATTGCTTCAGTTTGGATCTCATCTATAATTCACACACACACTCAAACACACAGACACACATCTATACAGATATTTCTCTTTTATATTTGAATTGCCCTCTCTCTCTTTATCTGCCTATCTCTGTTTTTTTTTTTTTTACACCTCATTATGCAAAAATATCGAAATTATTGCAAAGTCTTTTCAAAAGCTGTAATGCATTTCTTATATAAGGGAATGTTGGAGTACTTTTATAATAATAATTACACTGGACAACAAAGTTTTTTAAAAAGTTGCAAATTAATTGCGAATTGAGAGCCCAAAATATTTTAGGCAAATTTTTGTATTATTATTTTTATTATTTATTATTTTTGGAATGTGATAGGAGGATAGGAAACCATCTTTAAGGTCTTGAATATATAATAAAAATAAATAAAAATATTTGCCAGTAAATATCTGACTCACAAATAACTGTTCTCCGTTTTATTTCCTACACTCTGTTCACGAGATCAACCGAAAATATCATATTCAATCGCGCGCTCTCCCTCTCTCACTCTGTCTCGCTCTGAGCAAGCGCCTTCGGCTCTGTTCGTTTTGGTATTCGTTTGAGCGCCTTGGGTTGATCTATTCGTGTGACGCTCTTTTCACGAACGTCGTTTAGGCAGCGATACGATCGATGTTCGTATAAAGAGACTCAGCCAGTCAGCTAATAATGCAGAGAGTCCTCACACCCACGCACTCAATTCACGCACACAGCCCTCGTAGACATACCAATAAATAAACAAGAGACCTTTTGCTATATAAGACTCAACCAAAAGGTTCGTTAAAGCTCAGAGCTGAAAGAACTGTCCGATCGAACGCACTTGTTAAAGAACCGATGCAATCGATTGCTCTGAGTATTTTTTACTTCAAAGTGAAACACACAAGGGACAGACATCCAGAGACGATCAACAGTTATTTGCGAACTATGCTATTGGAATATCAAATACAGTGTCAGCTCTTCAGGAGCCTTTAGCCTAAGTATTCACTGAATACCATTGCTCTGTAAAGATTAAGGATTTAATATTATTATAATTATGTATAATATTATAATTATAATAATAATGTGGCAGCCGAAAAGGATTTACAATATTGTACTTTGAAAAAAAAAAAATCATAGGATTACTAATAATTAAATAAATAAAAATAAGAATAATAATAATAATAATAAAAAAATAAAAAAATAAAAAAATAATAATAAAATAATAATAATAATAATAATAATAATAATAATAATAATAATAATAATTATAATTTTAATAATAATAATAACAATAATTGTTCAGCTTTGTCATTTGTAGCTGAGATGCTTAAGAAATTATATCAGTTTACCTAAATAGGGGTTACTAAACTACCCCGTATGGCTTTAATAAATCAAAATATAAAAAAAAAAATTACCTAAATATCATTAAAATTCATATTATATTATATTGTAAAAATATTATATTAATTAGTAAACCCTTTTCGTCTGCCACATTGTGTTAACTTAATTATGCATATGGCTGTCAATAGTCTGCCATTAGAGTTAAGCCCTTCATCTCGACTGATGCATTTTACATATGCGCTCAGCGTAATCGCATCAGATTAAGCAACTATGCAATTAAAGCGCTCTAGACGAGCTCGTCTAAAATGTCATTGTGGTGCCATTATTTAATTCGCACGTACTCGAGCCCTATCTCAGTCACATACACACACACTCTCACCCTCTCTCTCTCTCTCTCTCTCTCTCTCTCGGTCTCTTTCTATAGTCAAAACGGCGAGCGACCAAGATGCAGCGGCACTTTTATCATGAACATGTCCTTAAGGTTAGATTGGCTTCTGTGGCTGCAGCTGCTGCTGTAATCATATTTATGCTTGCCACATTTTGTGGCATTGCTGTTGCGCCTGCTTCTGCTTCGTTTTCTTCTTGTTCTTGTTCAACTACTTCTGTGCGCATAATGTCATTTAGCTGGCACCAGACGCCGCTTGGCCTTGACTTGACTGTGCGCTTGCCTGCCTCTGCCTGGCTGCCTGCAGCTTGCCACAACTGCTTGCAACATTTTGGCGGCACGATTTCTGGCCAAGCACGCGCCTCATGCAATTTGCTACTGCCACACACACACAGAGACACTCTCAATTTGCTGTGCCTGTGGAGCTCTGCTTTGCTCACATTTCTAGTTGAAAGTTTTTCGCACTCGCGCTTTGTTAACTCTACGTGCGCTGGCAACTCTGCTTCATGAAAAATAATTACTATTACCTGAGCGAACAGAGCTGAGCTGCCTGTGATGGATGCGTGCTGCCCAGAGCAGCAAACGTGCGTCTGCCTGTGTGTGTGCCTGTGTGTGTGTATGCTTAAAAGTATGCTACATAAATATAATAAGCAGCAGCAGCAGCAGTGCGAGTTAGGGACAAGACTTCAAACGAAGTCAGCTTCACGTCGGCCAAGCCTTAATGGTCGATATATATGCCTCACGGCGCGACTAATGTCTCTCATCTTGCTCGCCTCACGCACACGAGAGAAGAAATCAATAAGAAATTAATATACATTACACATACGCCCCGTGGCAGTCCGCCAGGTGGCGCTGCTGCCATTTGTCATCTGTAAAATGATTACATTGACGACTCACCTGTTGTTGTTGTTGCTGTTGCTGTTGTTGCTGTTGTTGAGGTGGGCCTCGAGATGTCATCTATGCAGATAGAGCTCGTACACCTCGACTTTTGATGGAACCCCTCGATATTTGCTCGGCGCCTTTTTATTGATGGCCATAAAAAGCGACAGCGTCAACTTTTATGTACTGAGAACGCCAAGTGTATTGGCTGTGTGCCACGCCCCACGGCCCACGGCCCACGCAATGGCTGGAATGGCGCCCAAAAAGTTTTTCAGCCCGCCTTTTGCGACACATTTCCAAATTTTGTTTTTCTTTTTGTTGACTTTTCATGTTGTCGCACTGAAAGCAAGCCAAGAGCAAACAACAAAGGCTCAAAAAATGAGAAAAAAATTAAAAAAAAAAAAACGACAGCAACAAGAACAATAAACATCATTAAAGCTGAAAGCGAACCAAAAATATTAGCCCATATTTCGTTCCTCCTTTTTTTTTCTGCCTCTCCTTTGTTTTGTGCCTTTGCTGCTTTTTAATAAGGCAATTTTTAATTTTTTGTATTTTGTATTTTGCTGGGGTAATCCTTGATTGAAGTGCTGGAAAATGTGTTATTAAAACAAATTATGGCTCTTTGAAAATTGGCTAATGCGTTTAATTGGCCGTAACAGCATTTGCCTGCCCTGAATTTACCGGCCTTACAGCTTTACAGTTACAACAGCATCTGACATTTCAGACAGTTACATAAGCTAAAACATTTAAAACATCGAAAAACTAAAAACAAGAAACTAAAAATGCAAATTTATTCACAAATTGTTTCGAGTTTTGCTGTTTCTCGTTTCGCTGTTCCGTTGTTCCGTTGTTTTTTTCTACGCCATTCTACGCAAGAGTCGAATTTCATTTAATTTTTATTAAAACTGTTTTACAACTGTTGCTTAACTCTTTTTAATAATTTGTTTTTTGTCTATTTTTTGCGTTTATTTTGATTTTTTGGTTTTTTTCCCACTGGAAACTTAACAACGATTTTTCTTTGATTTTACATTTTCTTTTTTCGTATATTTCTTTTGTGTTTGATTTTTGTAGGAGCCTCTTACAATATATTGATGAGGAACTAAAGTTAAGGTAACTACACCAATAATTTCTTTTGCGAAATGATTTACAAAAAAACCAAAAAAAAAAGTAAACTATAAAATAAAACTTAGTTTTAGTTGGGTAAATTAGCTAAGAACACACTGCAACACACTTAACAAACACAAACCCCAACAAGCCCTTAAAGTAACACACATACCTATATACCACAATATATATATACCATATACTAAATACATATATAGTAGACTTAAAGATATACAGCTCCACTAACGGCTAAAGTTTCGTACACTTACACATAGATACACTGAGTCTCTTGAGAGTTCATTTACGCTCTACACTGCTCCCCCCCTCTCACTCTCCTCCCTCTCCCTCTGTAAGTCATTATCAACTCTGGCTGAGTTCTTTTTCCATGCATTTGCCTCACCTGTTTTTGTTCAACTTTCATTTTGTTCTATTAATTTACTGTTTGTTTTCTTTACAACTTTCTACAGTCTTCAGCGTCGTCTCTCCCTCTCTCTCTCTCTCTCTCCCTCTCTCTCTCGTCTCCCTATTGTTCCTACTTCGCCTTTGTCCTGGGCTTTGTCTGTCTGCTAAAAGTTCTTCGCTGCGTATACGTAATATACTGCCTTGCCTTGCCTTGCTCTATGCATCGCAATATATTACGCATACGCAACGTATTCGACTGTCGATATGGCCTGACAAATCTTAACTAATTCATGGCAATATGCGATCGTAGAGCAGCATAACTAACCAGTTCGACTTGTCGAAAGGTCACACAGAGCCATGGACCCTTTTTTTCACTCTTTTTTTTTTTGGGAGAATTTTTAGTGTTTATTTATGTGATGCGTGCGCAAATGTTTGTCCGCACATTGCTTTTATAGTTATTATTATGGTTATTACTGTGATGGCCGTTGCCTACTTACCAATGCCAATGAGGCCTTGTATATTTTGATTGCACAATATTACGAAATTCAATTTCTATTTGCCAAGAGAGCGAAAGGCGAAAGACGAAAGAAAGCAGAAAAAGCAAATAGACATTTGTAAACGTGTAATTATGTTTGGCCAGCTATACTCTTGCTCCCTTGCACTCCCACTCCCACTATCTCTATCTCTATCTCTCTCTGAAAGCTTGTTAAAATATGCGCACAAGCGTAAATTTGCCATTTTGGTAAATAAGCAATGTAGAGTATATAAACAAGAAGCCAGCAGGAACACACACTCTGTCCACAGCAAACTAATTGAAGAATTGATGAATTGAGCTGTTGAACATGTTTACAGTCGGAGCCTTTAACGGCAGCAAATTGGACAGGAAGAGCATTTGCCCAAAAACTAATTTCAAATTGAACAGAGCTCAGTTTTTACACAGTGAGAGAATGAGAGGGGGGAGGGGGGTTAGGGCAGTGTGTGTGTGTTTTCCTGCAACAGCAGCAGTAGCTGAGATTTTTCACTTTTCTCTTGTTTCTTTCTTTTTTTTTTTTGCTTCTCTCTGTTTGTTTTCTGTTTTGCTTTTCTTTGGCTGCATTTGCTGCTTGCATACGAAATTCAGTTTATTTGGAAAATTTGCTGGATATTTTATTTTTGTTAAGAATTCAAGAATTAATTTTCTGCCATTTGCTGCATGCATGTGTGGGTGTATGTGTCGAAGGGTGTATATATATGTGTGTGTGTGTGTGTATGTGTGTCTGCTATGGTCCGCTCTACTCTATATACATATGTATGTGTGTGTGTGTGTATCTACTCTCTATCAGTCACTTCCTACTACTCCCACTCTCTCTCTCTCCCCCCCCCTTATCTCTCCAGCTCATCTTGTTTTGTATTTTTTGATATATTTTTCTATTTTCTGTGCATTCATGTGCAAGGCAATTTTCTATATGTATGTGTGTGTGCGTATTTGTTTTTGTAAACAGTTTTACAGCTCATGCATAATTTATGGCCATTGCATTAATTTATTTATTTACTTAGAGGCAAGAGGGGCGTGGTCGGGGCTCAGCTCATCAATTATAGTTGCAAGCAGCCCAAGTCCTATTTATGTCCTTCATTTTCGCGTTGCCAATGCATGTTTTGCACACTAACAACAACAACAACAACCACAACAACGACTAGAATAGGAGGCAATACTAATACACACCCACACACACACACACACGCAGCATTAACTTGTCTGGGTTTCGGGCATGATGTAACAAGTCTAACTCCACCACACACAACCACTACGCCCACCCACTCGTCCAGTTTAGAGCTGCACGTGCAGAAACACCACAGACACAACCCACCCCCACCACCAGCCCCCCACACGTACACAAATGGAGCAGCCCCTCCGTGCTTAGCTTGGAGCGGGTCTGGCCAACAAGTGAATGATGTTGTGCGTGTTATCAACAAAGAAGCTCAAACACTTTGGCTTTCTTTTTCTTTCTCTTCCAACGCGTCTCTCTCTCTCTTCCTATCTCTCTTTCTCTCTATCCATCTGTCTCGCTCGCTCGCTGTGTATTTCACTCGCTGGTCGCTGGGTCGCTGCTCTTAGAGCAACTTTGCCATTGAACGACACCAAAGATTCGGCACTCAGTGCCGAGTATAACTGCAGCGCTGGAGGCGGCGGCGGCGGCGTAAGCGGAGGCGGCGGGGGCATTGCATCAACAAATGGGGGCTGCTGCGTTGCAGGCGGAGGCGGACTCGGTGGCAGCGGCGGCAGCGGCGGCGGCGGCGGTGGCAGCGGCAGCATCATCAGCAGCAGCGTTGGTGGTGGCCTCAGCGGTGTCGGCGGCGGCGGCGGCGTCAGCAACAACTGTGGAGTGCATCATTACCACCACCATCATCATCATCAGCATCATCATCATCAGACCAGTGCAACTGGCAACGGCACCACCACCACCACTCAGCACAACCACCACAACCACATCCAGAACCAGAACCACAACCACAACCACCATCAGCACCTAAACCAGCTATCAAACAACGCACTGACCACCACGTCCAACAGCACCAGCAGCGTCAACTGCAACGCCAATCAGAATCTGAATCCGAATCCCAATCAGAATTCAAAGTTCAATTCAAATTTGAATGCCTTGAGCATGTCCGCCTCGCTGGCCTCCATGCCAGGACTGAGCGCCTATCTGGGCATGTCCAACTTGCGCACCACCAGCATTGGCGACGACGACGATGGCGACATCAATCTGGACGTTGACATTGCCATGAATAATGCATCGGCTACTTCTGCTGCTGCGGCTGCTGCTGCTGCTGCGGCTGCTGCTGGTGGCTATGCCTCTGGTCCAGCATCTGTGGCTGCATCGTCATCGACATCAGCAACGGGCGCTGGTTGCTCCGCCTCCGCTGCGCACTATTTGCGGCACAGCAGCAACTATCGCTCGGCGGCGGCGGCAGTTTCATCTGCCGCTCAGGCATTGCATGGCCTCGACCATGGCTTGCTCTCATCATCATCGCTCGCAAACAGCAGCACCACAACAGCAGCAACGTCATCCGCATCATTTTATAATCGCTTCCTACTCCTCGATAATTCCAGCGGCGATGCAGTCGGCGGTGGCAGCGGCGTCAGCGGCAGCGGCGGCGGCGGCGGCGGCAGCAGCGGCAATGGCGGCATCATCAAAGGCAGCAACGGCCTGGATATGAGGCATCATGAGACAGCTGCCACGCCTCCGGCTAGCGCACACTCTGTCGGCGATGGCTTCTCGCATTCCAACAGCGCCTCGACCAGCTCAGCAGCGGCAGCAGCAGCAGCGGCGGCGGCGTCAGCAGCAGCAGCAGCAGCACAAGCTTCGACTGCATCCACTGCTGCTGCTGCGGCTGCGCCTGGCCTCACATCCGACAGGGTAGCGCATCTCTATGAGAATCTTTTGCGCAGCAGCAGCTCGGACGTGCTAGAGCTTGCCCAAGCGGACGCGGCCAGCGGCGAGAACAGCAACAACTGTGATTACCGAAGCGAGAGCAACCAGGTGAGTGGCTGCTGCACGAGTGGTGCAAGCAAATTCAATTTTAATCCTGCTCCGCATCTATCTACATGCAGAATGGCATTGAGGATTCACCAAGACGTCACAGCTCCATGGATCAGCTAATCGGTCTGCTTAACGATTTGGGCAAAACGTCGCGCACGCGCAGCCTCAGCGATGGCGGCACCCAGGACGATGATGAAGGTAGCTATTGCCTATATAACTGTGTATATCTATATCCCTAACTAAATACCTAACAGTTGAAAAGGAAGCGCAACCGGATCTGTTGAACAATACGCCACCTGTGCCGCCCAAGCGCTCGCATCGACGTCGCCACACGCCGCCGCGGCCCATTTCGAACGGGCTGCCACCGACGCCCAAGGTGCACATGGGCGCCTGCTTCTCCAAAATCTTCAACGGTTGTCCGCTGCGCGTGCACTGCACCGCCTCGTGGATACATCCGGAGACACGGGATCAGCATCTGCTGATTGGGGCCGAGGAGGGCATCTATAACCTCAATATGAACGAGCTGCACGATGCGGCCATCGATCAGCTGTTTCCGCGTCGCACCACCTGGCTGTATGTGATCAAGGATGTGCTGATGAGCCTGTCCGGCAAATCGTGCCAGCTCTACCGGCACGATCTGGTCGCCCTGCACTCGAAGCAGACGGTGCGCTTCTCGCTGCACATGAACAAGATACCCGAGCGGCTGGTTCCACGTAAATTTGCGCTAACCACCAAAGTGCCGGACACGAAGGGCTGCACCCAGTGCTGCGTCACACGCAATCCCTACAACGGCTACAAGTATCTGTGCGGCGCCACGCCGAGCGGCATCTTCCTGATGCAGTGGTACGATCCGCTGAACAAATTCATGCTGCTCAAGCAGTGCGAGTGGCCGGCCACCAGCTTACTGGGCCAGGGCAGCGTCCAGAACGGGCATACGCCCATCTTCGAGATGATCATCACGCCGGAACTGGAATACCCCATTGTGTGCACGGGCGTGCGCAAGGCGCTCAACGGCTGCCTCAAGCTGGATCTGATCAACATGAACAGTGGAAGTTGGCCTGAAATTTTCATTTGCATCCGAATTGGACTAATATTTTGCTTTCTGTACTGCAGGCGCCAGCTGGTTCCATGCGGAGGACTTGGAGTATGATGCGATGGCCACGATGGTGCCACGCCGCGATCTGCTGAAGGTGGTGCGCGTGCACCAAGTGGAGAAGGACGCCATTCTCGTCTGCTATGGCAATGTGATGCAGGTGGTCACGCTCCAGGGCAATCCCAAGCAGCACAAGAAGATGGTTGCTCAGCTCAACTTTGACTTTAACGTGGACAGTATTGGTGGGTCGGACTCCCTCTCTCTCCCTCTCTCTCTTGTACTAATTGATATCTATTCTCTCTCCCTCTCTCTCTTCTCTAGTTTGTCTACCGGACAGTGTATTAGCATTCCACAAGCACGGCATGCAGGGCAAGTCTCTGCGCAACGGCGAGGTGACGCAGGAGATTAAGGACATGAGTCGCACCTATCGGCTGCTGGGCAGCGATAAGTAAGTGACTAAGCAGAGTAGATATAGATATATGATGTATATGTGTATGTGTAACACTTCCTTTTCACAGGGTCGTCGCATTGGAGAGTCAACTTGTGCGCACCGGGTCGCTGGGCAGCGAGGAGGGGCACGATCTGTACATCTTGGCCGGTCACGAGGCCAGTTACTAGGCGGGCGCTACTTGATCTAGATGTTATAAATATATATGCATATACACAACTATATATAAATATATATACATATATATACTATCTATATATATGTACGTATATGTATATCCAGATACACACACGCACTCAATAAATTTGAAATTCAAGCGCGCAGCCGTCGTCACAGTCGGCGTCAACTACTAAAAGTAATTGAATTACTCGTAGGCCGTAAGCTACATATAATTCGATTCGAGCATTACATTAGAGAATTACAAAAAAAAAAAAAAGAAGAACTTGAGAAGAAAATTTAAAAACAAACAAACATAGAGCGCATTTGATTCTAAAATGAGATTCGTAGTCTCCCCCTCCTTTTGCCCACACGATTTTTCCATTCTTTGCCAAATCCACTTTAGCAATGTAATTAAATGTATTTAACAAGTTAAGCTGCACAGTCGTCTACCCGATTCCGTTGTAATTATATTTTTGTAATACATATAGAAGAAGAAGAGACACACACATACACAGAAATGCTTTAAATTATATGCCTAACGTTTTTTTAATTATGCATAAATAATTAAATAATAAATAAGACACAGATTTAGAAGGAGAGAGAAGCAGTAAATAAGGAAAGAGAACGAGATTTGTGTAAGGCTCACAAAGCAAATAAATTAGTCCGAGAAAAAGATTGAAAGTGGAGCTGAAGAGCGAAAGTCAAAGCAGAGGCGAAACGCATAAATTATATTCGTAATTAAACATTATTAGTAACTAACAATTGTAAATCGCAAATGTTTTTGTAGTTTGGTAACTGATGAATGGACAGGAACTGCATTGAAACAAAAAAATAACGTTGGAAACAAAAAACAACAAAAGAGTTCAATAATTTGTGAAAGTATTGATTGAATGAGTGTGAGAGAGCGAAAAATGGTTTGTTGGGAAACAAAGTAGATTAAGCATTTTCTAAAAATAACAAATAATTCTATTTAAAACACGATTGCATTGTAAAGACGTTCGGAAACTGATTGTCATAATTACGATTTTAGCCTAAGAGAACAATTTTTCCCAGCAGCACATTTGTCTTCAGTTGTAAAAAAAATATTATATATATGTCTTAAGTTAATTAGTTGTACGTGAATAGCGAGAAACCCAAAATTATAAATTAATACAAAAAACTTGTTGAACTTTAGTTTAGTGCAAAAATAAAAGTATTTAAAACAAGAGATTTGAATTTGAGCAAAATGCGCGCGCTTAGTCGGCAATAAGTTGGCAGCACAATTGATAGGTGTTGCCAGATTGGTTTAATTGCATATTATGACATTTTCAGCTAAGTCGTAGACGGTTACACTATCAACAACACAATTTAATTTCACGTGTTGCCCGAGTTTGTTTTGATTTAAGGCCGAAAAAGTTTAATGAAAATGGCATTTGAGGTGCCGCCATGGGACAAAGGTGTCGAAGTTATCAAATTCAAGCCCGTGCAGGTAGCGAGCAATGGAGCTACTGCCAAAGCGAAAGCCAAAAAACTTAAGAAGAAAAAACCAAAGGTGAAGAAGCACGCCGACGAATCGAATTCCACAAACGCAACTGCAACGAGCTACAGATTGGGCAAGGGACCGCTCGCGCCGCCACCGGAATCATCGGATGACGAAGCAGACGATGGACTGCGTGCCATGCACAGGATAAGAATGGGACGCATTGAAAAACAGCGGCCAGTCACTCAAACTGCCAAGGATAACAAAAAGAAGCAGCTGAAATTGAAGCCCGCTATGATTGGAGCCGCCGTCGAGGCCATGGAAACCTCCGCATCCGTCGTAGGTGCTGCTGCTACACCTGCTACGCTGGCCAACAAATTACAATCTGAGTTGCTTGGTGGACGTTTTCGCTATATTAACGAACAGCTTTACACAATGAACAGCCAGAAGGCCGAGAAGCTTTTCAAAAACGACGACGAAGCCTTCGAAGCTTATCATGCGGGCTATCGCCAACAGGTGGAGAAATGGCCCACAAACCCCTTGGCGCGCATCATCAAGATCATCAAAAGATTGTCGAAGACGCTGATCATTGGGGACTTTGGCTGCGGAGACGGTAAGCTGGCTCAGTCAGTGCCCAACAAGGTGTACTCCATGGATTTGGTGTCCACGCGTGAGGACATCATTGCCTGCAACATAACGAATACTCCGTTGGAAGCCCGATCCCTGGATGTGGCTGTCTACTGCCTGTCGCTGATGGGCACCAACCTGAATGATTATCTGCTGGAGGCGAATCGAGTACTGAAGCTGCATGGCATCGTCCATATAGCTGAGATTCAATCCCGTTTCGAAGATGTGCGGGAATTTGTGCGCTTTATGGGAAGCTGTGGATTCGACTTGGTGAAAAAGGACGTGGCTGTAAATTACTTTTATTTCTTTCAATTTCGTAAGATGCGACATGTGGACAAGCAGGTGAAGCTGAAGCCCTTCTCTCTAAAGCCGTGCCTCTATCGTAAACGTTAAAATAGATTGTACATTAAATAAATGTAGTTAAAAAATCACACATTAAATTCTTTGATCGTTAAGCAGTTGAGCAGTAAAGAGTTGCCACCTAGGCGGAACAAAGTAATGCGCGCTTTACCACTCCTCACTCAAGTCATAAGCCTGACAGAAGCTGGATGCTCGTGAATTCATTCTGTAGCTGTGACGTTGCACGTTCTGGTGCTCTCTCTCTCTCTCGCTCTCGCTCTTCGATTGACTCAATCCAATGGGGCAGTGGTTGTTCCGTCGACTCTGCCGCTTAAATACAAAATAAATATATCTCAGTACCAGTTTGCTCTTCGTGCGTAGCATTTCGAATATTTTTACCACGGTACGTTAACTGAAAATACCCCGTCGCAGGCCAATAGGAAAACAATAAAAAAAAATATACATATATATATATATATATATGAGAAAAATAGGCAAGAGAATTTGCCAGCAAAAAGAAAATCAAAGCATCTGTGTGCCAGTTGCAGAAAATTCGCGCGCAAATTTGTGTTGTTATAAATAAAACCACAAAAGTTTTGTTTCGTTATTCTTTTACGATTTTATGCAGTTTTCACACGCCCACGCCTAGTTTTACACCCCGCGCTGTCATTGCGCTCACTCTCAATTTTACTATTCTCTATTACTCACTCAACGTCAATTTTCAACAGGTATTCAACGACGACGACAACAACAGCAACAACAACAACAACAGCAGTAACAAATTGTCTTTTTTCGTGTTCGATAGAAAAAAGTGGCCAAGAATTTGTTTATGTGTATTGTTGCGCGTGCAAGTGTGTGTGAGTGTAAATTATTATTTGCAAAGCGATTTGTGGTGTGAAAAGTGAAAACAAGTGGGAAAAGCGCCGCAAAGTATTCAACGCTTCCAGTGGATTGGATTATCAACTGAATATCAAGGCAGAGCTAACTCGTAAGTAACGGCAACTTCAACTACAATTTAATTAGGTTCTTCCATTCTCCTCAATCTCGAGCTACTCCACAGCCAACGGCATCGCGCCATTACCCGTTGTTTGGGTCGTCTTTTTTCAGTTTTTTGGGCTGTGGTCAGAGTTTTTGGTTGCCTGCTCCGTCTTCGAATTATTTTATGCTTTTGACATACACACACACACAGCGAGAACAGTATGACTTCATAGCACACACACAGATACGCACGTACACTTATACGAGCACGCACATTAAAGCTAAACGCTCTCTCAGCGCTTGCCACTCTCTCTCACTCTTTGTAGAGTGTTTGTCAAAGAGAGTGAGTGAGTGAGAGCGAGAACGTTGACGTTGTCGCTTTTTGGCCAAGCTTTAGCTGAATCTTTTTGTACGTTTTCTTTGATTTTCTTTTGTGCTGCCTTTGAAACTTTACGAGTTTATGTTGTTGTTGCCGCTGCTATTGCTGTTGCTGTTGCTGTTACTGTTTCACTCTTTTGTCGCATTTTGTGTTTTTCTCAGTTGTTTCGCATTTTGTTTTCTTTTTTTGAGCAGGGGCTGAAAGTTGAGAAATTCTTATTGGCAACCGGAATGGCGCGTAGTCAAGGAGACACATTCAAAACATTCAACACATGCCGTATCAGACACAAATACAGTAAAGGCACTTTACCATGAACTATTCGCATTAAAATATATGTTAGGGCAGAGTATAATCAAATATATTGTTAGCCATATGTAGAGAGAGGAACATTTTTATTTTAATAGATTTGCATAATTTTCTGAATTTTGCTATATAAATATTTTGTAAATACTTAATATAGGTTTAGTTCTTTTGTTGAACGTGCACTGTACGTAATTGTGTGCGTGCTGTGTGTTGTATCCATGCAACCTTCCCCCGTTAAACTCATTACGATTGAAATTATGAAATGCGACACAGTCAAGTATTTACGCTCTGGATAAAAGTACATACATATATATATTTATTTAAGTAGTAGTAGAGAAATATTAACGCGCAGCTAGTGTAAGATTGGCGACAACAACAACTGCGACGACGCCGACGTCGACGTCACTGGCACCAAAATAAACCAAAGGCAGCAGCAGTAGCGGCAGCCGCAGCTGCTGCCTTGGAAATTGATCGCGTTGAGCAGGTTATTTCCTTATCAACTGCTCGCTGCTCTGCTCTCTGCTTTTTTGTTCACCCTATTGGTATTTCGGTTGTGATATCAAGGCTAAGCGCGCAGAAGGAAGTCTGCGAAGCTTTCTGGCCATTGTACTATGTACATATGTTAGGCTAGTGATAAGGTTTGCATTACTCACGCACATAGCCGAACTGATAAGATTCCGCGCAAATAGTCGAGGGTAACTGTAAGTTATGAATGGGGCAGGTGACTCTTCAGGCGAGGCTCCCATGCGTCATCCAAAAGCCAAATGGATTTTCACAATCAGTGGAAAATCTGATAGAAAGCAGACGCGGACGTGGCTTGGCTTGGCTTAGCTTGAGTAAGCTTGGCTTGGCTCGACTTGGCTTGGATTGGATCTGGAACAGAGCGTTTGACCCAAATAGCCTAACGAGCGACACAGCGATGCATTTCCAAGAGTCGCTCTTCCTCTCTTCAAAGAGTGGCAGACAGACAGTGCAAGAAGTTGCATTAGAAACCGGTTATTGCTTGGCCAAGAAATTGGCTACACAACAGACAAACAAATAAACGAAACGAGCAAAGCAAATGCTAATAACTGTACAACGGACCAAACTGTGCGAGCCGAACGAGAAAAAAATACATATAACAAAAATTATAATAAACTGTGGCGAGCCACAGCCAAACGACTTAGCCACATGCAAGCACACGGCCTAAACATGAAAAACAGTGTGAAAAACCTGAATTCAAGCAGAGAGCCAGAGCATAGCCAAAGTCTGAGGCAAGTTTAGCTCAACGCCCCCGCCCCCCCCCGCACAACAGAGAGGCAGAACAAGGTGTGTCGCTGCATTAGAAGAGAGCGGGAGACAGAAACAGAGAGAGAGATAGAGAGAGAGTAAGAGCGAGCAATTCGTAATCGGCTCTCTTAGCCAAAGTCTAGCTCGTAACATAAACTGGAAATTTGGGCCACAGCAGAACACACGCTGCCAGATCGTTTAAAGTTTTCATTTCACACTCAATTTTCTAGGGGGCACTCTGCCTGGCATTTCAAATCGTTTGATTAGGAGAGCTTCCTCTGGATTTGAAAGCTATTTCGGAGCTATTTTCGAGTTATTAACGGCCTCAACACACAACTCGCCTGATTTGTTGGCTTCCTCTTGAGACTCGAGAGCTTCGCCTCTATTTCATCGACCTATTGACGCCCTCTACTCAAAAGCAATCTGTCGGCCTGCTGTAAAGGAAGGAAAACAGAGCTCCAGTGGCTCTACTCTATGGAGATCTCTTGATTTGCGACAATGATCCCAGAGTTTCCGCTTTTGACTTGTAAAGATTTGTGTCTATTTTCGAGTTGTTAACGCCCTCTGCGCGGGGCAACAGATAGAAAACAGCTTTTACACACACATACACACACAGAGGGAGAAGCACTCACACACACACATTCACACATTTTCGCATTGAATTTTCTATTTATATTTGTTGTCACATCGATTTTTATTGTTGTCGAGGGGGGCGCTATGATTTATGTGGATAAAGAGCCAGCTGTGTATTTTGGTTTGTTTACTAGTTCAGTGGAGTCACCCCAGTTGGCATCTATTTGTGGGTGGGTCTTGGGTTCGACAACACTCCCGAGTTCGTTGCCCACCGAGAGAGGGAGAGAGAGAGAGAGAGAGTCTACCGGCTCGAAGGCGTTGAATACTTTAAATAGCGAATTGCTGAGGCGTTGCTGTGGGAGTACCGTGCTATGGAAATATATGCACACAAAAATACATATATATGCATATACATATATATATTCTCAATATGTGCCTCTATACTATATGAGAGCATTTTGTAGTCTGTAATTCGTCAAGCGCCATTGAGCAAAGCCAAGTAGCGAAGCCATTGTAGCCGTCGAGTGCTCAATTCATTTCTTCTTCTTCTAATTTTTTTTTGCGCTGGTCAACAAGTGCAAACGATTTATGTAGTAATTCACTGAGGCGATTAGAGGAATTCAAACTGGAATTGCAACTGGAGCGGATCTGGCTTATCGTAGCAAAAAACTTTATATATAAATATATTTATATATGTATATGCTTATTTTTATAAGTAAACAAAAATTTGCAGCTTGTGATAGCAGCAACTGCAAGGCAAACAAAATGCGTGAGAATACCCCTAATGCCAGCCAGGCAACAATATTATCGATTGACCCATTTAAGCGCATACCACCAAAGGCAAACAAACAAAAAACTTTGACTTCCTTTCCTCTTACACTCCTTCTTTCACACGCACGCCCAAAAAATAGAATATACAAAATGTTATTCTCATCAGATTGTGCGACCTGATATATACTTCATAAATATCTTGCCTAATATATATACCATTATGTATTCGACTATGGCATATCATCATCCATTTCGCCAAATGGGAAAAGCATTTCTTGCGGAAGTCTGCCTGGCTATTAACGGATGTGAGCAGCTCGCCCGCAACTCTTTCGCTATGGAAAACAAAAATTTTGTTGTATACAATTTATGGGCAACGCTTCGTTGATTTGTTGCTTCGTTTGCAAGCAAGCGCACAGGTGAACAGTCATTCAGAATGAATGAACTGCCTCTCACTATTGTTAACTGAACTTTAATAACAGTTGCAAATATATGCACTTACGCACACACCTTTCCAACTGACGTCACGCCAGCAGCAGCAGCAGCAGCAGCAGACCAACTCCAGCACAGATGACCTAATGGCATGACGGAATATACAAAACATACACAGAATTTTATATGATACATATTTGTATATTCATATATATGTATATCGGCTCTGAGGTTGAGGTTCAGGTTCATATTCATCGTGTTTTGTTGTGCTGTGTCCGAGTAAATTGAATTTGATTTAAGTTGTATTAAATTAAACTTAATTACGGCCTACCCTTAACTCAATTGGATTGACCGCCAGTGCACAGGCCGAGTGAATCTTTAGCAAACATGACAGTTCATTATACACACACTCACACACACACACACACACACACACATACACTCAAACTTCTTTCAATTCATAGCTCTCAACTCAAGACATCAACAGCTCTTGAATATTCCTCATGCCCATAAGTTCACAGTAGAGTTGGCCTGAGTATTCAAATACTTTGCCCAAATATTTGCATACTTGAAACAAGAAACACTCTAAATGCTTAATAAATGTTTTTTCTTTTTACATTATTTGATGAATTTTGTAATTTAGGTAAGGTAAAGTAAAGTTGAATATATAAATTTACATTGAAGCTCAAGAATTGAGCTCAATTCGAAGTTTACCAGTTTGCCATTCACATACTCTTTTAAGACAGAATTTAGACAGTCTTTAATGCTTTTTGAATATTAAATATTATTACTTGACTAAATTTATTAAATTTCTTAAACTCACTCAGCATATCAAGAATTTTTATTCTCAAAAAAGTTGTTGAACGAATATAAACTTGTAAAAAATTTAATATAAACTTTATATACAATAATTATTAATTAATTAATATTATTAAAAATTTTTAATATTTAATGTAAAATGATTGAAAGGATTCAATGAGTATTTGGCAAATAATCTTTGCTCTTTTAATTTTGAATATTAATAACAATAATAACTCACCCGAAGTTTCTTAATGCAATAATGCAAAATTTTAAGCATTTGAATACATTAAACACAATTTCTAAATTAAAAGGAATTTTCGTATTCAAAAAAGTATAGAGAAATAAAAATACGATATTTCTATTCAAAACTTAGCTTCAGCTTGACCGCAGTTCTACTCAATTTCAATAGAATATTTCGAGTTTAAGCTTTTCTCAGACTGTTCACATATACAATGTGTATATATATGTATATATGTATGTCTGCAGTCAAGTCGGTTTACCGGTCACGTCTTTGTTTGTCTTTGCGTAAGCTTAAGCATGGAGATACATTCCTGCTCACGCCCCAAGCCCAAGTGGTGTACAGTGAGGCAACATTGCCATGATTAGAAGCACACCCAGATGTCAGTTTATATAGGCATATATATACACAATCATATACATATATACATATATAGTTGATGTGTGTATTTCAGCTACTTGATGAATTTCACCTCGACCTCCTTCAATTGAAGCATTCATTCTTCAGTTTTGTTGTTGATTTTTCTTTCTTTTTTGGGTGTCGGCATCTTGCAAAATATTGCGCATGCTGTTTACTGTTGTTGTTGTTGTTGTTATTGTTGTTGTTGTTGTTGCTTGTTGCTTGTTTGATTGTTGCTGCAATAGAACAAACAATTTCAATAATTTGCTCTGATGATGATGTCATCGTTAATGCGAGACAAAAATAAAACATATCGCCGGCCATTCTAGAGCAGAGCAGACTAAATATATATGTACTATATATGTACATATATATGTATATGTAGATGTGTTTATAGTAAACAGAGATTTGCAGCAATTGCAAGCGAACTGCACGTTCATCAGCTATCTATACCTCTCCCTCTCTCTCTCTCTCTTTCCCTCTCTCTGTGTGTGTGATTCATGCGTCAATCAATGAAGTGTGGCAGCAAACACGAAACGTTTCACTGTCAAATTGCCTAGAATGCGATGCACGAACTGTAATTAGATCACGATTAAGTGTACTTAACAATTATCCCGCCGACTTAATGGATAGATGATGTCAACTGGGCGGCTAAGCAGATTGCCCCAAAATAATAATGCTACTCTAGCTGTTTGCAATTAATGGATGAAAATAAACACACACACACATACACACACTCGCAGACACTTACGCATGATATTTGAATAAAAATGAAATGTCTGCCTTCTGGTTTTTGGATTCTCAACAATTTGAAACAGTTTCGATGGCCCGATGACGCCATCAGCTGCCCCCAAAAACTGTGACGCGCTGTTCTGCTGTTGCTTGACTTTATGGTTTTATTTGAGAGGATTTCGAATCGAGTTTTTGCAGCTTTATTTGCTTCGTTTGCCGCATGCCTGTCGATCGTACCAAAAACTGGTTCAGCCTGTCCGGCGATCGCTGGCAATGATTCCCCTCTGCCCGCCTCACATATAACTGCCGATCATAGATAGAGAAATTGAAGAGTGCAAGAAATTTCAAATCAATTAAACATTCAATTGATCAATTGCTCCGCCAACTATATTGCACTCGCTCCCATCGAACGTCTTCTCCTACTCTCTGTCTGTCTGTCTCTCTTGCTCTGCCTGCGCTGGGGTGTGGTGCTATTTGTTAGCTTTGCAACCACTAGCCACAGCTAGCCTCATACAATAAATGAAAAATTAATATACTTTGTATATAATATAATATACTAATATACTAGGTATATATATTATTATTTAATTATTTATACATAATATGCTTGAGTTAGAGGCAGTGAATGTGCCTGCGGTTAGAATATTATTATAATAAACAGAACAACTAATTGCTAGTCAATATTTAGCATATAGACGAGGGCAGTACGAAAAATTATAGCAATGTGAAATCATAACAGCATAAAAAGATTAAAAATAAGAAAGCAAAATTTACAAAACTTGTCAAATATTATCAAATATAAAGAATCTATATCATAAATATCTTTGCATAGAAAACCAATATACCCATTTTCGCATTAGAAGAATAAGTATTTGTAAAACTCAATTCGAATCATCTGAGGTCTTGTTATCTGACGTTTCGTCCCTTACTGCGGTCCATCATTCCCTTTGGCTAATCACATGAGGGCTAGCTTTACCTCGACCCTTACGTCTTCGTCTTCCAATCAGCTGCCAACTGAAACTTTTTTCTCATCTGAGAATTCATTTGACAAGTTGCAGCGAAAGTTCTGCAAACTTTCTTTGAGCCAAAGGAGTTGGCCAAAAGGGGGGGCGGGCGGGTCTAATGTGTGCCGTCTAATTAAAGCCGGCCAGGTTTTTCAAATAAATTCCAACTGGCATAGACGCACAAACACACATGCACACATGCTCAATATGCTGTTTCTGCTTCTTTTTACGGCCGTGTGTGCTGGTCAGCATCTAGTTTTATGGCTCTTGGCTGGGACTTTGTTGAGGTTGTGCTGTGGCTTTCGCCAGCTAAACTTTAATTTCAGTTTGAATTTACCGCGTCCACAGCATTTAATGGTACACTTTTATATATTCACAGCTCGCCAGGCAACAACTGCGGTCAGCTGCAAGTAGAACAAGGCACAGTTCACGTAAGTATGACTACGAGTATGACTACGAGTATGAGTGTGAGTGTGAGTGGGAATGTGAATAAGAATGCGAATAATCCGTATGAATAATGTCATCGCATGACATCATGGTCCAGCCAGCGACAGCCCTTAGGGGTGGCTCGAAGGGGCTGCTTGCAGTTATTCGCTCACTCCAAGTAATTTTATAGCCCTGTCCCAGTTCGCTGGCGCCAGCCAATCGCTCAGACACACAGAGAATGGAGACCGGAGACCGGAGACCGGAGACCGACCACACGCATTCGCTCGCTTGCAGTGAGCACATCCGGTCGCATAGCCTTCCCTGCTTCCACCAGTTGTTGACTCTAGTTATATTTTTTTCTCTCTTATTAATATTTGCAGCTTCAATTTTCTAATCGATTGCAACTCGGCAAACTGAGTGCGTAGCGATGCCAGCGGAAACTAAAGCATCCGCGCCAGCGGAACCGGAAACGCCGACCAAGAGCAAAGGGAAGAGCTCATTGACCTTCTCAAAGGCCGCATTGGCACGCGTCACACTGCTCGATGGCTCCATACTGGACGTAACGATTGATGTGAGCAAATAAATTAGCCAATCTCTAGCCAAATCCAATAACTTGATCATTTCTTATATATTGACCTGTGCAGCGCAAAGCCAAAGGCCGTGACCTGGTGAACTCCATTTGCGCCGGTCTAAACATCATTGAGAAGGATTACTTTGGCCTGACCTATGAGACGCCCACCGATCCGCGTGTTTGGCTGGATTTGGAGAAGCCCGTCGCGAAATTCTTTCGTACGGATCCCTGGCCACTGGCATTCGCCGTCAAGTTCTATCCACCGGAGCCATCGCAGCTCCAGGAGGACATCACGCGCTACCATCTGTGCCTGCAAGTGCGCAATGACATCCTGGAGGGCCGTCTGCCCTGCACCTTTGTCACGCACGCCCTGCTCGGCTCGTACCTGGTGCAGTCCGAGATGGGCGACTATGATCCCAAGGAAATGCCAACCCGTGCCTATCTGAAGGACTTCAAAATCGCACCCAATCAGACAGCAGAGCTCGAGGACAAGGTCATGGATCTGCACAAGACCCACAAGTGAGTTTGGCCAGCTATCAAAACCCATATCCATATCTGATCTTCGTTTGTTTCCCCACTCAGAGGTCAATCGCCCGCTGAGGCTGAGCTCCACTACTTAGAGAATGCCAAGAAGCTGGCCATGTACGGCGTGGACTTGCATCCTGCCAAGGACTCCGAGGGCGTGGACATTATGCTGGGTGTGTGTGCGTCCGGTTTGTTGGTTTATCGCGATAAGTGAGTAGACTTGAAGCATTTCCATATTCATTTGACCTCAGACTAAAGCTTTATATTCCAACAGGCTGCGCATAAACCGTTTCGCTTGGCCAAAGATCTTGAAGATCTCGTACAAGCGTCACCATTTCTACATCAAGATACGACCGGGCGAATTCGAGCAATACGAATCCACCATCGGTTTTAAGCTTGCTAACCATCGGGCCGCCAAGAAGCTGTGGAAGTCCTGTGTGGAGCACCACACCTTCTTCCGCCTGATGACGCCAGAGCCCAACACACGGTCCACTCTATTCCCACGCTTTGGCTCCAAGTACCGCTTCTCGGGTCGCACCCACTACGAGAGCAAGGCCACGCCTGTCGACCGTACGGCGCCCAAGTTCGATCGGGCACTATCCGGCGCACGGCTCTCATCTCGTAGCATGGATGGTGAGTGCTGAAAATGGAAATCTTTATAAGTGTATCCCAATTGACGATTTTGACTTGCAGCCTTGGCCATGGCTGAGAAGGAGAAGGTGGCCCGCAAGAGCAACACCTTGGACCATCGTGGCGATCGCAGCCAGGACACAGAACCGCTAAGCCGCAGTCCCATCAAGAACAAGAAGGACAAGGTAACTAGAAGATTTGGCCGCTGAGTCCGACTCGAGATGCAGATGCTCAATGATTAATGGCAGTTGTTAACCAGATACTGAATTACTTTATTTTTTCTCGGTTTGTTACTAACTCTCACTCACAAACCAAACCAAATACATGCACACACACACACAAACACACACACACACACGAATGCCGTGTGTCCGTGCTCGTTAACCTGCTGCTCGTTGCATTCGATTTGATTCGATTCTAACAACATTGTTAACCCCAATCACATACATATATGAATATGCGTAATCAGTTAATACGCGAATCGAGCACCGGTACAGCCTCAGCCTCCTCGCAGAGCTCACTCGAGGGAGACTATGAGACCAACATCGCTGCCGAAGCGGCGTCCGCTCTCGGCGATTTTCCGTCTCTCGCTCAGGTTACTGTTTTTTTTTTTTGTAAACACTCTATGCTAAAAATATTCGTATCAAGAATTCGATTCTCTTTCCCAATACCTTAAACAATTTTATTTACTCTGGCTTGATATCTGCTTATTTTTTAATCGTTGTGAGCTTATTCCTAGACAAAAAAAATAAAAAAATATTGTGTATATCCCATTCCGATCAGCGCATATGAGATGAACTTTAAATACTTTTTATCATTACATATATTTTTTTTACTAATTTTTGTTAACCGCAACTTTTTTATTTTGATTACATAATTGACTTTAACTTAACCCTGGTAGCCCATGAACGAGGACTTGCTATTTATGGTAAATTTATGTACAAACCAAACGATCTCATATCTCTCTACTCTACGGATTGTAAATGTTTTGTCTAAATCACATTTGCATACAACTCTATACTATCCTCATTTATACCTATATTTCAATTTATTTTTATATTTATTTATGTTTTATATTTTCTGTTTAGTTTGATTTGAACTCTCATTTGCGCTACATTACTGTAAATATAGCAATCATATTGTCTAATACGCATCTAAACAAACAACCATTGGCAAATCAAAAATAAAAAGAGAAAGAAATAATTTTTCTTTAAAAATTGATTTCTCTTTGTACAGCTTTAAAACTGTAATCTTTGGCGCTTGAACAATACATTTGATCCATATTCCGTCATTTCTGTTGCATGTACTCGTACGCTTCTTCAATAAAACTTCCTTGTCTTTATTGTCCTTTGCCAAAACTCCAAGAAATCAGTTATTAAAGATCATTTTACTAAATTCACAGGATGAAGAAAAGGAGGCAAAGTTACGCGAGAAGAAGCTGAGAGAGAAGGAGGAGAAGGAGCGCAAAGAGCGCGAGAAACGCGAACAAAAGGAAAGAGAGAAGGCCGAGAAGGCGGCTAAGGCAGCTGCCGCCGCTGCTGCAGCTGGCATTAACGGTAAAATATCTATATATACACCCCTACTCTATATTGTTTAACTAATCGATTTCTTGCACAGGTGATGATCCTAATGAATCAAAGAAGTCCGATACATCTGGCAGACGTGTAAGTATCATAATTTATTAAGTTTAGCTTAAGACCTTAAGACATGTATTTTAAGATATACTATGAATTTGATTTTAAGCTAATATAAAACCCTGCGTAAGAACTCTTCGCACCATTTGTATATATACAACCAATTAAGTCCCATCCATTGTCCCACCACACCTTAAGTTCAGCTCCTAAGTATTGATAGTTTGTATTTGAGTACATTAGTTAATCCAAATTTCTTATGATTTCCATCTGATTTTGTAATTTTAATTTCTTTTTGTATTCCCCCTCCTCCGATTCGTTTCGTTTTATGTTTCAACTTTTGATTTGTCGGCGCTGCTTGAAATGGGCGAAATGAACAGGGTATTGGTATATTCTCGTCGGGTCGCAAGAGCAAGAGCGGTTCACCGTCCAAGGATGGCAAGGATAAGTCCGGCAAGGACAAGGATAAGGAAGTGGGTCGCCTCGGTTTGGTCGTTACCTCGGGTCTGATCGAGCAGGAACAAGGCGATGCCAATAAGGATGCGGACAAAAAACGTGGCTCTACCACACCCGGCGTCACCCGGCCGTACGAGTACGCCGTCGATGCCGAGGGCAATGCCAGTAGCCCGACGCGTAAGTCCTACACGCCTGGCGGCTTCCGCTACGACCAGGACCCGAATAGCGGCAAGCAGCTAGGTCCCGATGGTCAGGAACAGCTGTCGCCGACGTCGCAGCAGAAGAAGATCGGTCTGGCCTTCAACTATGCGCCAGGCAATGAGAGTGCTCTGAAGGAGACTGCCGAGAAGATCAAGTCGGGTCAACTGTCCCCTCGCACGCAAGATAAGCTGAATCGGGGACAGCTCTCGCCCAAGTCCAGAGCGAAATTGCTGCAAGACGGCAGCCTCTCGCCCACCACTCGGGCCAAGCTGCAAGGCAGCGCTGTGGATGCCGCTGCAGTGCCACTGAGCGATGGCCAGAAGCGCTCCTACTCACCCACCAAGGGTCAGCAGGGCCAGCAAGGCTATGCATCGGGTGCTCCCGGCAGCTATAAGCCGATCATTGATCCCACTGCCGAGTTCCTCGAATCACAGCGCTATAATAAGGAGCCCGGATATGTGGGCGTGGCAGCTGGTGCTAAGCCTGGCTCGCCCAAGAAAGCTGCAGCTGGAGCTGGGCCAGGATCTCGCGCTAGTGCTGGTCCTGGTGCAGCGGCTGCAGCTGCTGCGGCTAAGCCCAAGAAGAAGCGCGTTAAGATTATGGTTATTACCTCCAAATTCGATCCGAATACCAAGCGCATCGATGCCGAGAATGGCACAATTGAGCACTCGACGGGCATCCTTGATCCAGCCACGGGCCGCATTGATACTAAGTACGGCGTAATTGATCCCCAGAATGGAACTCTGGAGGCTCTGAATACACAGACAGGCAAAAAGGAGTTGTTCAAGGGCGATGTGGATCCAAAGACGGGCAATTTGCATTTGATTAGCGGTGTCTCAGATCCAAAGACAGGACGCATCGATAACTCGTTGGGTCAGATTGTTTGCATAACGCCACAGGATAATCCTGTCGTTGAGCTGACGGTCATCACGAGTCGCATTGATCCCGCAACGGGCAAGATCGATACCGTTAATGGAGAGGTCGAGCGCTCGCTGGGTGTCTTGAACTTGAGCACTGGCTTGCTGGATACGAAATACGGTGAGATTGACACACGCAAGGGTGAGCTCAAGGCCTACGATCCCAAACATGGCAAAATTGTGGTCACCAAGAATGTCAAGGTTGATCCTGGCACTGGCCAAATCACCATCTTGGGCGTCATTGATCCGAAAACGAACAAGATTGATCCTAACCAGGGTCGCATCATTGAGGTTGGCCAGCAAATTGATCCAATTGTTGAGGTTACTTCTCTGGCTGGCAAGTTCGATTCGAAGAAGAACATTATCGATCCCAAGACAGCTCAAGTGGAGACATCTGGCGGACAGTTCGATCCCAAGGCGGGCAAAATCGACACCAAGTATGGCCAAATCGATTTGGTTAAGCACACAATCACCTTTACCGATCCCAAGTCGGGCAAATCGGTGACAAGGGACATTAAGATCGAGCCAAGCACCGGACAGATCGTGCTGAAGAACCAAGTCAACCCCAAGAACAACAAACCCGACAAGGATTATGCCCGCATCATTTCACTACGCATTGTCCAACAGCGCGTGGATCCAGTTACAAAAGCGCCCATCACAGAGGTCAGCGCCGCCAAGGACAAGGACATTGTCGTTGATCCCAAATCGAACCAGATCTGGGTGCCGACCGGAGCCAATGATCCCAGCACTAAGGAACTGCAATATATTTCCAGCAGCGTGGATCCCAAGACGGGCTACGTCATCACCATCTATGGCTACCTCGATCCCAAGACCCATGAGATCAAGAAACAGACCAAACTCGACCCCAACACCATCAAAATCGAGCCGACTTCCGGCAAGATCTACACCGCCACAGGTGAAACGGATAAGGCAACCGGTGAACCGCTTTACGCTGCCACTCAGGTGGATCCGGAGTCCGGTGAGGTCTATACCAAGCTGGCTCGCGTTGATCCCAAGACTGGCAAAATTGTTATTGTACGCATTTTGCTGATGACCAAGACAGACGAGCGTGGCCGGCCCGAGGAAGTTGATCCAGAGAATTGTGAAATCGATCCGGTTTCCGGTCGTGTTCTTAAGTTCTTCAACAAAACCGTTTATGTTTATAATATGATTGATCCGATAACTGGTGAAACTGTGCAGGTCGATCCCAATGATCCACGCTTCGCGGGCGCCCGCACCACTGTGACCCACACGATGACGCTGACTGGTGAAATAGATCCGGTGACGGGACGCATTAAGAGCGAGTACGGCGACATTGATCCCAATACGGGCGACATAGATCCGGCTACGGCTGTCACCGATCCCGTTACCGGCAAGCTGATACTCAACTACTCCCAGATCAATCCCGCACACTTCGGCAAACAGGCCCAGGTGCAGACCACCACAGAGACGGTGCCGATCACACGCCAGCAGTTCTTCGACGGGGTCAAGCACATTGGCAAGAGCGCGCTGCGTCGCGACTCCGAGGCCAGCTCCGACGACGACATGACCCAGCAGTACGGCACAGATAATGTCCAGGACATTGTGCTGACCTCAGCGAACCAAGCGGGCGCCGGCGGCAAGCTGGGCAAGCAAGTGAGCACGCCCACGGTGGTAAAGACGACAACGAAACAGGTGCTGACCAAGAACGACGACGGTGTCACCCACAACGTGGAGGAGGAGGTGCGCAATCTGGGCACCGGCGAGGTGACCTACTCGACGCAGGAACACAAGGTTAGCTCCCGTTAGTTGTGAATCTGTTGTGACTGTCTCACAAGCTCTCGCGCTTACATCTTCCACTACTTAGTGAAGACGCTTTCACAATGCCTCAATTAATTTGAGTATTTCTCTCTTATTTCGTTGATTTTGATTTGTTTTCTTACTTACCTGTGCCTCTTTGCTAATTGCTTTCGCTGTTCGTGTTGCTCTTGATGTAACCGTTGTTGAATACGCACTAACCACACCAACAATCACCACACCACCAACACCCACCTAGGCTGATGCAACACCTACCGATCTGAGTGGCGCCTACGTCACGGCCACCGCAGTCACCACCCGCACAGCAACCACGCACGAGGATCTGGGCAAGAACGCCAAGACGGAACAGCTCGAGGAGAAGACCGTAGCCACCACCCGCACCCTAGACCCCAACAATCAGCAGCAGCGCGTCGTCACCCAGGAGGTGAAGACGACGGCAACGGTAACGAGTGGCGATCAGGTAAGAGAATCGATTCCAATCGGCTCGCATGGCTGCACCTCTCGATATGCATGATTTGTGATGTCTGTTATTTGTTTTGTTTTACTTCCTTTTTTTTGGGATTGGATTCGATTTCCATATCGATATCCAACTCGATTTCCAATTCGATTTGTTGTTGTAAATCACTAGTACCAGAGACGCGACAGTGTGTCATCGACCAGCTCTGGCGACTCCGGCACACCCATCGATGGGCCATACGATGGCTCCAGCGTGGTGCGCACTGACACTCAGGTTTGTACTAGCCTAATTAGTAGACTATGTAACTTGGTATCTAGTTGACTCCGTGTTTGTACCACTAATGTGCCTTTCCGTTCCACGGCAATGCAATCTAATAATCTCCAACTTTTGCTAACAACCCTATAGAAATCTCCGCTATATACAAGCTCTGCAACCGGATCCACTGGCCCGCACGTCGAAAGCACCCGAGTGGTGCTCGGCGAGGATTCGCCCGGCTATTCAGGACATGGCGAGATCATCTCCACGCAAACCGTGAGCAGTAAAACCCGCACCGTCGAAACGATTACCGTAAGTAAACCGCAAGAAAATCCATTCGCACATTCTGACCCAGCGTGAGTAAGTAGAGACGGAGGTAGGAATACTTTACATTTGAACAATTTCCACCAAAACAAATTCCAAATTTCCTGTATTCGTATGCGCCTTCACTGTACATTTACATACATTCGTCTCTTGTGCCAAACTGGTGATACGGTGTGCATTATATATTATATATATAGCCATATATTAATCATCATTTATCAAGTGAAGAATCGTAAAGCGGCTGTAATTTGGATATACTTATATATTCAATTCCTGATCTATGTATATAGATAGGCAAGGAAAAAGATTATAGACAGCCGCTTACCAAATTATTCAGTATTCTATAACTAATCTGAAATCTCTTTTGCCCACAGTACAAAACCGAACGCGATGGCATTGTTGAGACCCGTGTGGAGCAGAAGATAACCATTCAATCCGATGGCGATCCAATCGATCATGACAAAGCCTTGGCTGAGGCAATACAAGTAAGTTCAAACATAAATAACTAAATATAAAATCAGAATTTTAATATATGTATCTACCCCATCATCCTCTATTCGCAGGAGGCGACGGCCATGAATCCAGACATGACAGTCGAGAAGATTGAAATTCAACAGCAAACGCAGTAGATTTTATAATTACTTTTAAACAATTACGATGTAAAACCCGCACAGCTTCACACACACACACACATATATACCCACGCACACCACCACCAACAACAATAACAACCACATAAACAATCAAAATATCAAAATACACACAGCACATCCAGTACACCTTTTATACAACCTACCTACACACATACATATACAACTAAGTTTATAGAAACGGAATTCAATATTTTCTATATATACTATAGAGCAAGACGGAGAGCTATCCATAACAATTCAAGCCCATATTGTATGTTTATAATTTTTTTTATTTACATAAAAAAAACTGTTGTTTATAACTACCTTTTATTATTATGTATGTCTAACAGAATGAAATGCATCAAAGCATCATTAAAGTATATTGAATGTGCAAACGCAAAAAAACAAAAAACAAAAAAGAGAAAACGTTAAAAGAGAAAATTATATATATATATATATACATAAATCTTTATATATATATATACATAAATCTTTATATATATAAATGTAAACATTATATTTGTAAACCACAATTGCATTCAAATAAAATGAGAACCTAAATGTACACACTAAATGGAAAGCGAGCTTTTCACTTCAAAGCGATAGACTATTTGAATATTCATTGAATGCACGCGCAGCCGGCGATAGGCATCAGTAATGCATTGGACTGGAAACAAACGCCAAATAGTTGGCGAAAAACCCAAGCACCCCCTCCCCGTCACACCTGAGCCAAGGGCAAAAACTGCGCCACATCATCGCAATTAACAAATGCAGTAAAAACTAATGGGAGAGTGCTCCAAGTGGGCATTAGCTGGCTAGGATATACCCTGTACCCTGAAATTGGGCTTGTAGAGGAACTCCTCATAAATAGGTCTGGAATCTATGCTCAAAAAACTGAATCAATCAAACCAAGTCGAGTTCACATTAAGCAATTAATTCTCCAATTATTTGAGTTAAACTAGCTATACAATTGCAAGTCTCCATCTCAAAGGAGTCTAGAATTCCAGATCAATAAGTTTCTAGGACATTGATTAATCCAATTTAAGAATATACTTTATGCATAGGAGCATACCTCCTGCCGCCCTTTTATACCCTGTTTACCCATTTTCAATTTACAACTTCGCGGCAAAACGAAAACAAATGAACCCATTTGGCTCTACCCCTGCGGCTCTACCCCTGCCCCTTGGGTAGCCACGAGCAGGACACGTTGAGCGATAAGGACATTGCATTAACATGAAATCCAATTCGCAACTTCTGATGCCGACCCAGCGACAACGAGGCAAATTATTGTAATGCAATATTTATGCAGTTCATGGCAGCAGAAAGGCCACAACGTTCGCGGGGGGCAGAGGCGGTTGGCGAGACTTGCTAATAATATTACGTTCCATGGCAGGAATTTCAATTGGACTTGGTATACCTTAAGCCCAATGAATGCGGTTAAGCGGGATATCAACGTGGTTCAGGCTGAATGCGAAAAACCGGGAATGCGAAACTTATCCAGGCAGGACTTTACCTGTTGGAAGCTGAGGACAGGTACTTGGTAGTAATGCAGTAGTAGAATGAGCTTAGCTAATTAAATAAATAAATATAGCACATAAAATATACTCAAATCTTATATGAACTCTATATTCAGGGTATCTCTTAGTCGTGCCCTCCCAACTCGACCCGTTTTCTTTTACTTTCTGCGTTTTCCTGTTGTATGCAATTTTTAAATTGTGGCCACAACATGCAAAAAAATGTCAGCAAACGATTAAATGCAATGGGGTCCGGTTTGGGGTCTGTTAGGGGGGATAGCATAAAAAAGCCGTAATTAAAGTGGAGCATACAAGGTGACTGACTAATGCATTGATTCATAGTTTAGATATAAAGCGTTCCATGGCCGATAAAACTTCAAATGCGAGGCGTTGAAATTCTGCACCCTTGCCTGCGGTCAATGCATCACTCAAAGAGGTGGAGCTCCGTCCCCTCGCCGCGCCCCACTCGCCCAGCTGTCAGGTGGGTTGGTCGATTGGTGGTGCAGCTGAGCCTGCCAAGAATTGCAATGCCAGTGACCACACACACACACACACGTACACGCCCACCCTCAGCTATTGTCCGGTCATGTGTCCACGTAGTGCACAAGACCACGGACACGATAACCGCGGCCACAGCGCTGAGTGCTTTCTGCTCATGAATTTTTAAATGCGCGTGGAAATATCCTCTTGCGAATATTTCCTCTTTTATTTTTTGTTATTGTTTTTCAAACTCCTGCATATTGCATGTCACTGAGGTCAGGCAACAAAATTTCTAAAAGCCACCAAAGTTCGGCCCGACTATTGCATCAAATTTTCAAACTATTTCGCATGTGCGCTATTAGCTCCACCCACACACCACCCACAACGTTTCATTCCTATAGACAAAGTTCCTTGAGAACTTATAAAGAACTCATATATATTCTGTTGGATCCGACAGCCTTATCAATACGTCAAGTATTCAGGCAACCTGAAGAGAGATAATGGTATATATAAATCTAAGAGATAATAAGATTCGCATGACAATACTATATATATGTATATATATAGCAGAGTCCTATAGTTCCCTTCTCCCTTTCCCATGTCAAACGAAATCAGTGCAAAATAAAATCACAACCAAATCGTTGGCCCCACAATTTTCGACTCGGACACTGTCGCGACATTGCCAATTAGATTTGATGGCAATTTGCGCTAAAATGTTATAAAACAAAAGCCCAAGTGAGGGGGGCGTTGGCAGGGGGGCGGGCATTGGCAAAGCGAAAAAGAATGTTAAGCGGCAAATCGCCACCCCTCCCCAACACTTTTGCAACATGTCACGCTTGAAAACATGGGCAGTTAGAGAGGGAGAGAGAGAGAGAGGGCGAGGGAGAGAGCAGTTGCGGACTCTGTGGAGGCGTGACAGGACGTACGCTTATTTCAGTTTCATGAAACAGCAATTTGCATGTCTGTCTGTGCGCGCCTTTCCTTTTTTTTTAAGTTTTGTTTTAGTGGCTGTTCGTCCGCCCACGGGACTAAGTAATTGCCACATGCACCACATGCTGCCCGCATCCAGCAACAAGTGGAGCCAAGCAATTGGCAAGCATTTGCATGCCAACAATAGTGCAACAGCAGCAGCAGCAGCGAATGAGAGAGCGAGTGGGTGAGTGGGTGGTTGGGTGGGTTGGTGGTTGGTTGATTGGGTGAGTGGATGAGTAAAGGCTCCACGCTCTTTGGCCTGCTTTCAATTGTTTGTAAACAAATGCGCTCCACCAACGTTGGCCGTCGCATTGGAAATTCGCGCTCTCGCTTGGAGCAACGCATGCGCCAAAAGAAAAGCGCCAAAAACTGTTATACGCCGCTTATTTCCCCTGCTGTTTGACTGAGTCCAAGCGATAATCCAACGCCTCATGATCGGATGAAAGGAATTGAGGTATATTGGTGCGTAAATATCTCCCTATTTTCTTAGTTTTAATAATTTTAATCCAATTTTTAAATGCAGTCGACCGAAAAAAATATATTTATAGAACTTTAAAAGTAGCAGAAAATTTTTTAAACATAGCAAGTTTTTAATATATATTTTTTTTAAATTTATTATATATACTAAATGTGTATAAATATATTTATAGAACTTTAAAAGTAGCAGAAAAATGTTTAAACATAGCAAATTTTTAATATATTTTTTTTTTTTTTAATTTATTATATATACTAAATGTATATAAATATATTTATAGAACTTTAAAAGTAGCAAAACATTTTTTAAACATAGAAAACTTTTACTATATTTTTTTTTAAAGAACAATTCCAATTTAAATTAAACAATTTTTAAACACACAATATATAGAATTATACAAAAAGGTAAGCAGACTACATTTAAAAACAAATGCTTGATTTATATTTATAATATTTTTAAGCCATATGCCTAAGCCCACACTGGAATATCAAACAATTTTATGAACATAACTTCAAAAATGCAAAAATAAAATATTTTGAACAAACTTTTCTTGGTCCCCTGTAAAATAAATATCTAGACATATTATTAGTTATTTTCTTGTACTTGTTTAGTACCCCAATAGAAAGGCCATATATTAGACGCTCGGAGGACTTTAATTAGACGCTTCACAGTAATGACTGTCTGTCCTGGGTTGATTTGACTGTAGTTTAGTTAAGAGTTCACTCAAACCTCTCGCTGCCCGTTGAGGAACATTTTTGGCTAATTACTCGACCATATTTTAATGGACCTTAGTGCGGGCCAAGTGAGCTCATATGGGCACAAATGGAATGGAATGAAATTGTTGGTCAATCGCTTAAGAAAATTATCATTAGAGGCAACGGCTGGCGGCACATTTGATTGACAGTGAAAGTGGTCTAAGGAGGACGCCTATGTGTGTGTGTGTGTGTGTGTGACATATGAAGAATATTTGATTTGAGCTGAAGTCGAGGCAAACGTCTCCTCAACAAATATTGAAACAGGCGTAATTAACTGCCTAACTGGCACATAATTAGCCACGACATTCATTAGTCTTGGCACCCGCTCAGCTCTAGCTGGCATTTCCATTTCAAATGTCCATTTCGCTTCAAAGTCAGCTCGAGGACAACTCTCTCCCTCTCTCTTTCGCTCTTGTATGCAACGCACGCATTTCGCATAAAAGAAATCAACTGAATTTTGCAATCAAATTGAGCGGCCTAACAAAACTGACCGTAGCAAATCGAATCGGAAAGTCCATTTCCATTTCGGTTTATAGCTGGCATCCAAAAATATTGAAAACAAATTTGCGCTAAACACTTCCAATTGCCAAAGATGATATTCGTTCATATAAAAATGGCAATAAATGCAAATGAAAAGCCATAAACACATGAAAACAAATCCACACACACACACACACACACAAGCACACACACAGACGCACACCGGCCTTTCGATGACCTCTGCCAGCAGCTCACCCATCCCTTCCCTCCCTCCCCCCGCAGTAGCCAATGCTCTAGCTATTGTTAAAAGTCAATTTTCAACGCCCATGGCCGATAAAGGGTGGAAATCGAGGCAGTTTTTCCGAATCGAAACGCATTTTCAATAAATTCCAATTATGTTTGATACCAAATTTGAATTCGGCCATGCGAATTACTGGGCCACAGATGGAGGCTTAGCCATATGGTCAGACCTCAGACGCCAGGAGTCAGGAGTCAGGTGAAGACTTTCATGGCCCATTTATGGAATTATGCCACACAATATATAAAACTTTGATGACCTTTAAAAACGCACAAGTGCTAGTGGACTATGAATTTCTCACAAAAAAAAAAAAAAAAAAAATCTAGGCAGAAAGTGCACAACTATAATATACCCTGTCAAATTTTTATGTTGCTGCTACCTTGAATCGAGATTTATGCCGACAAATGGAGAAACTTGTGTTTGATAAGGGAGAAATCTTAAGTAAATATGCAAGTCTTATTAATGTATTATAAGGTCTTATATATGGCATTAGTTAAATTTAATCTAATAACACAATTATCGATATGTATATATATAAATATTATATCTAAAATATATATATTGTATTTTATATTATTATAATATTACATTATTACATATATAAAGTGCAATAAAATCCTATTGATAAAGTTCATGATATTGATGCATCGATCTATTTCATAGATGTCGATAAAGCTTATCGAGGCCATATTAAAATATACTGGAAATCTATATGTTTTGTAGATAATAATGCTCAACAAAGTTTAATACCGAAACCTCTTCATGGAAATGGAAAATCATTAATAGCAAAAGTTGATCAACATTGAATTGAATGAAGTTGGATATCGAAATTGAAAGATTTTATGGAATGGACAAGTACTATGTATGCTATAGCAGATCCTATATGTCCTTAAGACTAATTAATATAAGTATGCTGACTGATTTATTATGAGCCATTACTAGATTGGGGAGGTATTCTATAGACGATCTTACTTGTCTCTAGTAATAATTTGCTCTGAGATCATGGCTTGACTCTATTCTATATGAATAGAAGTAATATAATATGTATATTTCAGATTAAACATACCCCTTTCTAACAGTTACATACATCTTAGTAAGACCAGCATACCCTCTTTACCCACTTTGCAATAGATTCCAAGCTGAGCCATGGAAAACTTTATGAGAAATTCAATGCGTGCATTAGGTACGATCTATATATGTCTCGCATATATCGCATATAAGAAACTTATAGTTGCATGACTTTGGCATACAGGAAGCATGAAATATTCATAGTCGAACTGGACTAAACGGAACCCTACAGGAGCTGGAGTCCCGTGCAGTGTCTCCCCCACATAATTAGGTTGACGCTGCCAAAAAAAAAAAAAACGAAAAGCAGGTGAAGGAAATGGAGCAAGTGGAGGGCAGCTACTGCTCCCAGGCAATTGCCGTGACGCAGTCGAAACGATTAGTTTTGTATTGGCCAATATACATATACATACATACATACACACATACATGTATAGACAATAGAGAAAATGTCATGTGGTAATCGTTAGATTTGTCGCTAAGATTGCGTTCACTGCGCTCCGAATTTGCGCTCTTATCAAGCAAATGTCGTTTGGTCTAGTCCCGGCCATAAGATAGGACATCGCATACCCCCAGCGAGCGCATTCCGTTTATTTCCATTTCGCATAATAAAGGTCATTGTGTTACGAGTATTATTACCAGTTCACCTCCAGTTCACCCCCTCCCCCCTCTCCCGTACAGTACAAAAAGGTTATGGTCGAACAATTTATATTATTAATGCTTCACATGTGAGCACACACACACACACACACACACACACACAGTGTAAACAATGTTAATGCTGAAAATGCTTTTAGTTTAACAAATAGTCGAGCAAAAAGAGTTTTGCATTCAAAGCCAGTTGAATTGTGTCGAACTTTACTCAATGGCAAATATGCATTTATATTTCAAGAGGTTCTATGCAACTAATTGCTAAAGAAACTTTAGATGTGATATAGGCGAGGGTGGTAACGGGCGTAAATTGCTTTTGAGTAAGACTGAAGGCATTTGGATATGATATATAAATATGAGGTTCCAATTTGGACTATATTTTGATGGCTTCACCTAATAAAACTTTGCATACAGTTTCTAGTTTACATTTCGCAATCGTACAATTAGAGCTGTATCTACAGATCGCCTAAAATAGGTTTGGCGTATAGAGATAATAGCCATATTTATCATAATTTGAGAGCTGGGATTTATAAATACTACAATTACCATGATATAATCCATAGATCCATAATTATCGATCTAGTTTGCAGATGATGTTGATTGAATGATATTATATGATATGGTATGATATGATATGATATGACATGATATGATATATGATATGATACGGTATGATATGATATATATGATATTATATGATATGATATGATATATGATATGATACGGTATGATATGATAGGATATGATATGATATATATGATATTATATGATATGATATGGTATGATATGATATGACATGATATGATATATGATATAATATGTGTATGAAATCAAAATAGCATCTTATAATATGATATGTGTAGTAGTTCATAAGGATATGCTACAATATGATATGATATATGGTATGACAAGATCAGACTTGACAGATCGGAAAAGTATTAAATATTAATGGGAAATGAAAGTTTTATAGATTTAAGTATTAATAATAGTTTATTAACCGAACTACTAAGAAATTGCGTAAAGACCTATTAGATAGAATAATTTCATTCATTCATTATTTCATAATATCATATTGTTTTTGTTTTTAGTAAATCCTAATTCTGTTTTGATGAATGTTCATTTATTTCGAAATTGACAGATCATTTGTCACCCGAAATGACCTAAGCACAGTTAAGTAGGCGCGCAGCTGTTAAATCTGACTCGAGCTTTACATTTTATAGAGCAGAAAATAGATATCTAAATATAAACAGTTATTTTTGAGGCCGATGGCTCGTTAGGTAAGAGCTGCAAGCCAAACTGCGTCTATATCATTTAAATGTCACAAGGATTTTGAGCTGTGGCGCTTTAGCAATTAGCCCGAAGGATAACAATGACGTATTGCAGGTGAGACGATGTGCGTGTGTGTGTGTGTTGGTATGTGAGGGAGAGTGTTAAAAATATTGTAGTTAAAGGCTCGTCACGGCTGTCCAGCGAGCGGCAAAGGACATCTAGTTAGCCATGAAGCTTAACACAAATTATGCGTTTTAGCGCACTACGAAGTCCTTGCCCCTTTTCCCTAGCCCCCTCCCTGTCCCACCTTGGGGTGTACTTAACAAATTGCCTGGCCAGCGATTGCATAATGTATGAAGAGCAAACCGACTGTGTACACAGGCAACTGCCGAGTCCTTGTTGCCCTTTTTTCTCTGTCTATCTGCCCATTTTTTTTTTTTTTTGGGGCTTTTTGCTAGTCCAAATCAAATAGTGGCCGAGGCTCGACCAGGGCCAATATGGCTAATACTAATGGGCCGCGGCGCTGAACAATGCCAATGGCAATTCGAGTCAAGCCTTTGTCGGCTGACGGACAATTGACGGCATATGCACGCATGGTCGGCTACAGATTTCGATCCGGATCCCCATCAGGCCCCACAGACGTATGCCTCACTCTCTGACTCTCTCTCTCTCCCTCTCTCTCTCTCTCTTTTCGTGATATTGCGCATATTAGCTTTGCACTTGAGCCACCCAACGGGCACGCCCACCCATCAAAAGATAATTTAATAGCCCCCCACACATCCACTCACACACACACACACATATATATATATATCGATCGTGTGAAGCTCGAAATGTTTTTCCGAATTGCGTGTCCGACTGGTCAATTTTCCGAGCTGCCGCAAATGAACAAACGAAACCGCAAATGAGAAACCAAACCAAACTGTTCTAGCCATTTGGCTTCGTTAGGGTTGGGCAGGGGGGCGGAGGGGGGCGTGCTCGTGGCATGTGTGTACCGCGCACATGAATTATTAATTGACAATTGCCGAAAATGTCCATTATCAGGTGGAAGAAGTAACGCAAAAGTAGGCGGAGAATTGGTTGGTAAAGAGCAAGGGAGAACAGAGGGGGAGGGGGTTGTAAGGGCCACGAGGAACGAGGTCAGTCTCTGTGCTGTATTAGGAAAATTTCAATTTCGTTCTAATGAAAATTGTGTGTGGCAAATGCTAGTTTCCCGTGCCCCCTCCACACTGCTCACCCCTCACCCCTCACAGAGAGACAATCCTCATAATGGGGTTAGTTGCTTACTTTTTCTTTTTTTGGTTTTTGGTCACTTTTTCTGCCCCTCGCCTCGCTTCGCTCGACAGAGTTTTTTTTTTTTTTTTGGTCTCTGTGCAGGTGTTTCCATTTCGGCCAATTGCAAATTACAACTTCCGTTAGCCCCTGTCCTGCCCCTGTCACACACACACACACACATGTGCAGCTCTAATGACATTCAGCAATGACAGCATTGAAATTACGCACCACAAAATTCATGTGTGTGTGTGTGCGTGTGTGTGGAATCGCTCGATTGGCCAACTGCTCTGCCTGATGGCTAATCAGTTTGGGCCAACTGAAGCAGAACTGAAATCATTTTGCCAAATGGCTTTTCCAATCTGATCGAATCGGTTAAATAAACCACGTATATGATTTATTATGCATTTACATTATTTGTTTTGTAGCTGGCATTACATAAGATCGACTGGAGAACAAGCCAACAACAGCAAGCTGAGCACACAGGCAGAACCCAGAGAGAAACGTAAAGCAGAAGCCAAAGGCAAGCATTAGCCGGTTTTGTACGCAGAAAGAGAACTCGGCTAGAACTCAGCGGCTTGGCTTACACTGACGTGTTCAAAAGTCGTTCAACTTGATCGCCAGAGAGAAGCAGAGGAAAAGAGAGAGAGAGAGAGAGAGGAAGAGCGAGAGAAGCAAACAACTGTTAGGCAGGTGAGAGAGCTGGCCGCGTGGCTATAGCAACCAAAACACTTCTGTTGACTTCAGCGAAAAGTCGCGAGCTGTGAGCTCTCGCTCTTAACTTTGTTCTTCTGCCATTGTCAACAGTCGCTAAACAGCAACAACCAGAGTCGGGTCAAGGTTTTAACTGTGCAAAAAACAGAAACCGAAACAGAGACAGTAAAAGAAGAAATAAAAGAAGTAAAAGAAAAAGAAAACTTAACGAAATGCTGAAACTTCTGCTGACGATGCTGCTGGCAGCTTTGCTGACCCGCCGCACTTTGGCCATTGCGTGCGGTGGCTGCGTGGACTTGGATGAGATCAACTTTGACAAGACCATTGTGCGCTTTCCCTATGCGCTGGTCAAATTCGATATTGCCTTTCCGTATGGGGAGAAGCATGAGGCGTTCGCGGAGTTTTCGAAGGCGGCGCACAAGGTAACGGCCGAGCTGCTGGTGGCCACCGTGGGCATCAAGGACTACGGCGAGCAGGAGAACAAGGCGCTGGGCGAGCGTTTCAAGCTGAATGAAAAACAATTTCCCGGCATTTTCCTGTTCAAGGGCAACGTCGATGAGTTTGTCAAATTTCCAGCCCATCTGGATGTTACGCTCGACAATCTGAAGACGTTTGTGAGCAGCAATACGCCGCTCTACATTGGCTGCGATGGCTGCCTGAAGGAGTTCAACGAGGCCCTCAAGAACTATGCCAACCGGCCGCATGACGAGCAGCTGGCATTGATCAAGGAGCTGCAGGCGAAGGCACAGGAATTGAGCAACAAGTTCAATGAGCAGCAGAACGCCAAGGTGTATCTGGTCTATATGCAAAAAATCAATGAGCTTGGCTACAGCTTTGTCGAGGAGGAGACCAAACGATTGCAGCGCCTCAAGGCGGGCAAGGTGACGGCTGCCAAAAAGTTGGAGCTGCAGCACCGGCTCAACATTCTGGACGCCTTCCGTGTGCACAAGTTAACCAAAGCAGCGCCAGAGAAGGCCAAGGCAGAGCTGTAAATCTCACAACTAGACAATTATCTTCCTAGAGAAAGTACCAAAATGCATACTTCTTAAACATAAAATAGGCACCCAATTGTGTACATTAAAACCTAACTGTTACCAAAAACCAAAGTATTTGTTTTGTTTAACTGTTTGCCATAGCAACGAGGACCAGGCGCTGTCTGCTTATAGCTGGACAGCAACGAATATATTATTTAGTAAAATCTTATTTAGATTTTTCGCCATATATTTTAATAAATTCGTTTTCTCCTTGCATCCTAGGAGTATGCACTTATTTGTATAATTTAAAATGCGCTGAAAAGTATGCAACAGCTGTTTAAATGCGGTGGGGAAATTCCCATAACAAAATATCCCTTATGCAGCAGCGTGAGAGCAGCCAATAGGCTGGGAATAAAAGAGAGCAAGAGAGAGAGAGAGAGAGAAGACGAGCTAGCTCGTAATTGTGCAAAGTGCACATTAAAATACATTAATTAAACTTAATTAATGCATAATGAATGTAAAGCTTAACAAGCCTTTTATAATTGTTATTACAAAAATGTAAGATTGTTCAATTGAGCGACATTTGCAGGCTGCCGATATATGTATGTTTACATGCGTGTATGTATGCATGCTGCATGATAAAGACTATGCATATGCATGTGTGTGTGTGTTTATGTGCTTGCGAGCTTCATCGGGCCGCGCTCTTCGCACTCATGCGACGATCGCAACAATGGCGAAGCAGAGGCTAAAGCAAAAGCGCATTATGGCCGCGTTCGCTTGCAGTTTTTTTCCCTCACTTGGAGCAGCGCGACCTCAGCTGTATGTGTGCGTGTGTGTGTGTGAGTGTGCTTGTGTGTCTGTTTGTATGTTTGCGTTGTTATCGCTCATTTTCACTTTAATATGAGTTTTTGTTGCTTTTGCTGTTGCTGTTGTTTTCTTTTGGAGTTTGCTCTTTTGTGCACGCTGCGCTGCTGGGCAGCCATATTTATTTGTTGTTGCTTTTTTTGTGTGCTGTTGGGGCCCGCAGCAGCAGCAACAGCAAACGCTGCAGTAAAATTGTGTTTTTGTTGCCGCTGTTGTTGTTGTTGTTGTTGTTGCTGTTCCGTTCGTATGCGAAAGTCAATGAACTTTTTCGGTGTTGTCTATGCATTTCAGATGGTGTTATTGCTTTTGTTGTTGTTTTGCGATAAGTGCTACGCCGGTGTTGGTATTGGTGCATTTGAGCATGAACAAAACACAAAAAAAAAAAAAAAAAAGCGGAAAAAATAACAAAACGAAATAAATTACTAATTTCCGAGCTACACAAATGCAACATGCAACGGGTTAATAATCAGCGAGAGTTTTTGTACAGCTTTCTATTTGCTTTTAGTTTTTCACAGATTTTTCGCGCTTATCGCCCAATTGATCCGACAATAATTTAACAGATCCGCAAGAAAACTGCCCGCGGCTTTGCCAATTGTTAATTCTTATCTAAAGCAGGCGACCTTTGACCCGCAGCTCACTCAATTTACAGCCAGCTAAAAAAAGGAATGGGAATGAGGAAAACTCAATTGGCGCACAAATTCTGCTGGTTTGCAATCAAATGCTGCGAAAAACACACAAACAAAAAACCAACAAGAAAAAAAAAAACAAAAAATAAAAGGGAAAATCATAATAGGGCAAACAATTTTCACACACTAAACGCAACCGCAAGGAGCAAGAGGAGCATCTCTCATGCCACACCTACAAAGGATATCATGCAAATGTTTGCATTTCCACGCAAGTGCACTACCCCAAAGACAAACGATCCGTCAGTCAATCAGCCAGTCAATCGGATGATCAATCGAACCCTTTTCGACAAAGGGCACTGGAAAATTGAAAGCGGATCGCCCACGCCGCCAGTCGAGCGCATGAAAATGAAAACCCTTTTCGGCTCATTATCATGTGCATAATCTTGGCTGCAATTGCATTAGACGTAACCTGAGTGCCCAATATGTGGCGTCGCCTTTTTTGGCCAAAGCCAAGTCATCCATCCCACCATCCATAAGGTTGCGTGTTGCGTGTCGCCATCTTCCTCACATATCTGAGAGAGAAGAGCCAATATTCAGGTAATATAAGGTGGACTACCTGCTGTGAGATTTACGTTTATGCATTTCATTTTCATTGTTCGTTCGCTTTTTTCCTCTTTCTATATATTTTTTGGCTATAAAACAGGTTCTGGCCATAAATTTATCTCGCGCTGCAGATCGAGAACTCTTCTATGCAGCCCGCCTACTAGTTGACAATCAGAATAAAAATTTATACATATGCATGTGTGTGTGTGTGTGTGTGTATGTGTGTATATATTTGTATCAAATCCTCTTTTGGCGCAGCACTAATCGAAGGGTTCGACGCGTCGCCGAGGTCAGGTCAAAGCAAATGCATTAACTGTGTAATCCCAGATATGAAATCTGAGCGAGGCGACGTCGCTTGACTTTAGAAAAACACATTTTCACGACTCGCCCCGACGCTCTGATGATCGTTTTTTATGATTTTCTTGTTGTTTTTGTTTCAGTTTCTCCTCTTCGTCTTCTCTTTTTTTTTGCGTCTGTTGCAGCCTCTGGGCTTGGGGATCGCGCTGGGCACAGGTAGCCGCAACACATTTTGAAGCGCTTTGCGCATTAAAAAACCAACTTTTTTTTTGGTTCGTTTAAATGCGTTTTTCTTCGTTTTGGTTTTTTTTTTTTTTTTTTTTTTGAAAAATGTTTCATTTTGAGGTTTTTGCTTTCCTCGAACCTTCTTCTGATTGCATTGCCGCGCCTCGGACTCGGACTCGCACTCGGCTTCGGACTCTGAGTCGCAGTTGCTGTCATGGCTTAATTGCCTGACGCAAAACTTGATCGCGCGCTGCGGGCGGGGCCAAGGCGGGAGCTGGAGAGGGTCAGAGCAGAAAAACTTCTTGGTCGATTGGCGTTTTGGGCCAGCCGGAGCTGTGGTCCACATCGTCACCGGCCATTGCACCGCGCATGCAGATAGTTTTGATGATGGAGCTGCAGAGTCAATGACTTGCGTGGCATTTTCTTCGACGCTTTGTTGTTGTTGTTGTTTTTTTAGCGCCCTAGCCAGCTACGCTTCAAAGAGTTCACAGAGAGTTTTCGGGAAAATGCAAAACGTGCAAGGCGATTGGAAACCCAAGCCAACCAGCATCTTTTCATATTCATATCTCTGTGTTGACAGGACGCCTTCGAGGTGAAAGCAAACTCAGGGCGCAGGGGTCGAACATCTATAGGAACTTCTCGAATTGAAGGTCCAGTTGCTGGCCCTCATCGACTCATAATTAATGTCAAATAATTGGCAGAAATTTGTTTGTTATTTAATTGTGAGAGTTTCGGCAACAAACGCAGCGAAACGCTACGCCGCGTGTCGTTCTGCTGCCGCTGCGCTGTTTTCACATTTTCCTCAATTACAATTTTCACAATTTCTCAATCAATTTTCTTTTGATTGGCCGAGATGCGGGCGCCCCATTTCGGCTACATTTGTTTAAGCTACGCATTGTTGCTGTGGCTGTTGCTGTAGCTGTTTCTGTATCTGAATTGCAATTGCAACATTTATCGCCCAGGCGGGTCATTGAACCACCAAACGCGCCCATGAATCGAAAATGCAGCGAGGGTCGTGTTCGACTCGCTTTTTTCTAGCTTTTCTGTATACAGCTATGGCTATGACTCTGACTCCTAATCTGACACTGACTCTTACTCTAACTCCTTTTCTGTCTCCTTCTCTGACTGCTTCTCTGACTCCTACTTTGACTCCGACTCCTACTCTGACTCCCACTCTAACTTCTACTCTGACTCCTTCTCTGACTCTCACTCCTTCTCTGACTTTTACTCTGACTCTAACTCCTTCTCTGACTCTGACTCCTTCTCTGGCTCCTTCTCTGACTCCTTCTCTGGCTCCTTCTCTGACTCCTACTCTCACTCCTTCTCTGACTCCTACTCTCACTCCCTCTCTGACTCCTACTCTGACTCTAACTCCTTCTCTGACTCTGACTCCTTCTCTGGCTCCTTCTCTGGCTCCTTCTCTGACTCCTTCTCTGACTCCTATTCTTGACTCCCACTCTGACTCCTACTCTGGCTCCTACTCTGACTCTGACTCCCACTCTGACTTCTACTCTGACTCTAACTCCTTCTCTGACTCTGACTCCTTCTCTGGTTCCTTCTCTGGCTCCTTCTCTGACTTCTTCTCTGACTCCTTCTCTGACTCCTACTCTCACTCCTTCTCTGACTCCTACTCTGACTCTAACTCCTTCTCTGACTCTGACTCCTTCTCTGACTCCTACTCTAACTCCTTCTCTGACTCCTACTCTGACATCTTCTCTGACTTCTACTCTAACTCCCTCTCCGACTCCAGCTCTTCTGCTAGCCCTGGCGTAGCTCAGTCTGGCCGGCTCAGTCTAGCGAAAGGATCCCAGGATTGTCAGGCGAGTGCAACCTGCATCTTTGGCTGTCATGCTGTGCCCCGTTGATCGCTATCAAAATGCAACTGCTGCAATTGCCATTGTCCTGCACAGGATTCGCGGCGTTCCCACAGTTAACACAACGCTGCATTGTCTACGCATTTGATTTTTGTTTTTCTCTTATTCTTATTCCCCTTTTTATATCAAAATCAAAGATCGAAGCCAAACCCAAAAGTCACATGCGAACAACGACGGCTGCCATGGCCAACAACAACAATAACAAAAATAACAACAACAACAGCAACAACCTGCCAGGAATCGCTTAAGGTTAACACATCGCAAACAATGGCCGCGCAAATGGACTAGCCACAGACAGCCAGACAGACAGAGGGGGGAAATCGGCGAGCGGGGCAACTGGCTCGCGGACTTGCAACGAGGGTAGCTGCAAACCAGTTTCGAGTACAGCCTGTACCTGTCGCACCTTAACAGTTGCCTGTTGCTGCTGCTGCTGCTGCCGCTGCTGCTGCTGCGGCTGTTGCGTGCCCTGCCTAATTGTGGAGGCAGAGCTAAACACAGATGCCAGTTGATGATCCCTCCCTCCCCTCACTACCGCCACTCCATCTCGCATCGAGATGCTGAGTCAGCGACCAAGTGGCAATTCTCTCAAGTTGCAAGATCGCGCAATGGAAATGGAAAATGGAAATAGAAAAGTATGGGACAGCAAATGCGATTGTGCAGGTGCCGATCACAAACGCAAACACAAATTGAGTGAGGGCATGCACAACTAGCAATTACCCTGTACACAGAGAATGCTAGAGCAGATATACAAGTACTATATAAGCATATTATATCAGTAAAACAAATATATATATTTTGTATCCTCTATTAAAATGAAATGATCTTAAATAAAATATGTATGTAAATATATCTCCCAGATCTCCCAATAATCTGAATAAAATAGTTGTATAAATATATTACTCTTCTACAATCAAGTAAAGTTTTGTTTTTTAAATATGTTTGTAATTTACTGTATTCCGGAATTAAAGACAAATAATAATAATTTGAAATATATAATAATAATAATTTTTGGCAATTTTATGTTTTATATTAGTCAATTTTATTTAATATATTTAATATTTAAAACGTATATATTTTTCAATATATGTTTTTACCAAGTATTTTATTTTAATAAAATATGAATTTTTTAATTTTATATTAGTCAATTTTTTATTAAAATAAAATTAATGTATTTTTAATATTTATGTAAATGTCTACTTAAAATTTTATTTCAATAAAGTATAAGTTTTCAATTTTAAGATTAGTCAATTTTATTTAAAAATATAAAATGTATGTATTTTAAATATTGTATTAATATTAATAAATACATTAGATTTTTAAAATTAAAAAAAATTATATTTATTAAATATTATAAAATGTATCTATTCTCAATATTAATGTATATATTTACTTAAAATTGAATTTTAATAAAATATTTATTTATTTTTATTTTGATATAAGCCCATTCTGTTTAATTTTATTAAAAATTTGCAATTTATACCCCTTTCCACAATTCCTACAGGGTATCTGTAAGAGTCACATACTTACTCAACTAACTCGGCCTAAGAACAACAGAAAGGCACAAAGTCAACAAAAAAGAATAACAGTGGCCAAAAAAGAACGCAAAAGAAAACACATGCAGTCACACGCACAGGCAGATAGAGAGAGAGCGAGAGAGAGAGAGGGAGAGGGGCAGACAAAGGACGCAGCGGCCAGTGCACATTCTCATTTTCAACTATAAAATTTATTCGCATTAATCGCCGTCAAAGATAAAATTAAGGAAAGAAAAGACTTGGACAGGATCAGAGTAGGGGTAGGGGTAGGGGTCAGGGTCAGGGTCAGTGCCAGGGCGAGACGAAGCCAGAGACGAGGACGAGAACGCTATGGGACGAGACGAGGCACTTCTAGCCAGGGGTCGGCATGATAAGGCAACATTGACACCTTTAGCTACGAAACTACCTGCCGCTGCAGCTACGTTGCTGGCATTTCTGATTGCGTTCGAGACTATCTAATTGTGAAAAAAATAAAAATAGAAAAAAAATAGAAAATAGAAAAAAAAACGCAGACGCTATCCCAGCAGAGCAGAAAATTTGGCAGGACTGTACACTTGTCATCGAATGGGCGAATATACATAGATACACATACACTCACATATATATGCATATATTTTAGACTATTTTAGCCAAGGGGGTGGCGGGCAGGGTCGGGCGGGGGCGTGCCAGCCGCTGGCTAAGTGGAGTGAAGCGAATGCGTGTGTAATTAAGTGTCGCAAAAAGACGCAGCAAGAAAATATGTGCTGGGCGCTAACATGTGAAGGTAATCAGAGAGTCGAATGAAGGCCCAAGTGTGTGTGTGTGTGTGTGTGTGTGTGTAAATAGGAAAAGCATGTTGTGTGTGCTTTGGGCGCCATGGTCGACTAATAGAATGGATGCGCCATAATGTCCCGTGCCAGGGCTGAGGGTGATAAAAATGTTTCATGTAAATTGCAAAAAACAGTTTTTATGTCCCATTGCCGAGTGGCAGGAGGCGGGGCAGCAGGAGGCAGTCAGCCAGGCAGTCAGGCAGGCGGGCAGGCGGGCGGCTGCGTGTGAAGTGGTGCAAAATATTAGACAAGGGCGGTTGGAGCTCACTGGAGGATGAGGATGTGGATGTGGATGTGGATGTGGATGAGGATGCGGACGTAGCTCAGGCGGAGCATCTGTGGGTGGCTCTGGCCGCTTTGAAGTGTCGCAGCCCATTGTGGCTCGTAGTTTGCGTTCTATTTATAGAGTGCGTTTCCTTCGGCTTTTTCAATTTTTGCCCAGGCGAATATTAAATGCGCGCACATTACACAACACTGGCAGGCAGCGGCGGAGCCAGCACCATCAGCACAAGCCGAAACAGGTTCGCAACACTACTCAGCAAGTTTGCCATTGCTGTCAAAAATGATTTGTACATATCTCGAGCTAGCTGAAGGTTTTTTCAAATGGATAGAAGTCAATCGGGTGTTGAGACTGTTGGGACTTGTATCATCATCGTCTTCTCTGTCTCCAAAAGGATCCGTTATCCTAGCACCGAAAACGCATCATGGTAAGTACTAAATAATTTTTCAGCATATTTGCAATAATTTTTACCAAAAACTAAAAGCAAAAACACAAAAAAAAAATAATAATAATAATAATAATATTTGAATAATTGAATAATTTAAATTTTTTTAATATTCATTCACAAAAGTCGCTTCTGATCAAACTGAAAATACCAAATCGCGTTCAGCCAGATGTGATCCCGTTGGTTGGTTCGGTTGGCGTCTACACCAACAAGATGCACTACATGAGGAAGCATCTGCTGGACGAGCTGCCCTCCAAGCCGTTCGCCCTGGACTTCATGCTGCCCGTCGACTCGGAGGCCCTGCAGGTGCCCACCTACTACACGATTATACAGTGCCCCATGGACGTGGGCACGATTGTGAAGCGTCTACAGAATCTCTATTATCAGAGTGTCGATGATTTGATTGCGGACTTTAGGCTGATGTTACGAAATTGCTATACATTCAATCGACCCGGCGATATCGTCTATCGCAATGGCCAGAAGCTGGAGCGATTCTTTCTGCGAGTCCTCAAGGATATGCCCGAAGGCCTTGAGGTCTCCTGCAACCGAGATCCGCGCGCGCCCTGCAGCCCGCGCAACAACCAGAAGACCACAGCGTTCATCGAGCGCAAATGCCGCGAGCAGCTGAAGAAGCTGCAGGCATCCAACACCGAACACTCGGATGCCGATCTTCGTGACTTATTCAAGGAGAAGCTGGGCGGGGTGTCGAAGAAGCTGAGCAAGCACCAGTTCAAGATACACGAGGACTTCCACTTGGAGCTGGATCTCATGCTGCTGCAGTCGCGAAATCGGGCAAAGGGTGTATATGAAGGCATATACCAGGAGTCCCTGGACAACATCACGTACCACACGCAGCACAAGGAGCTCAGCCAGCTCTTCTATCTGCTGCAGAAGAACGACGATGACAAGCGACTGGAGCGAAAGCAACAGACCATGAAATGGGAGGACAGTCTGGTGGATTGTCTGGATGCCACGGTGGAGCGACTTAAGGCTAAACTGGATGCTTGCCGCGTGGAAGAGGAGGAGGAGGAGGAGGAGTACGCAAGGATCAAGAAAATGGTGGCAGCCGAACGCGAAAAGAAGCGCGCCAAGAGCAAAAGCTCCCACTCGTCCGCTGTCAAGGACAACGAGAAGCAATATGCTTACGTCAGCGAAGCCGAACGTCGCACCATCCAGCAACAGTTCTTGATGCTGCCGCTGAGCACAAAGATGGAAATAATGCACGTCATTGCCCAGAGGGAGGATATATCGCCCGAGAACACGGACCTGCAATGGTTCGATATCAAGAACTTTAACGCCGTCACCCTAAACCTGATGAAGAAGGCCATGCACCCGCACACCAAACTCAATTTGCGGAACATGAAGCCCGCCGAGAAGGAGAATCTGCAGCGCTGCCTCGAGAACCGGCTGCAGAGCATCAACCAGGTGCTGAATGGCAATCGACGCAAGTACACACATCGTCTGCGCGTCCGCTCCACCGCCCCGGCCAGGAAGCGGGCACGCTTCTCCACCAAGAAGGGCGCCAGCGGCTCCAACTCGCAGCAGCAGCAGGAACTGGAAACAGGTGCCGGCAAGTCGAACGATAGCAGCACCGAAAGCGATTCCAGCAGCGACACCGACACGAGCAGCAACACTGAGTCAAGCAGCGAGCCCTCGACCACCCGTTCCCCGATTACCCCATCCTTGCCCTAAACGAGACATTTGCATTCTGATTGAAATAAATTTGTGAAGATTCGACGTGCAGAGCTATTGACACATCTATTTTCCTTTTCCTTTTCCTTTCCTAGTTTTGTTTTTTTGCGACTGGGGGAATCTCTGTAAAGCGCATCCTCGCATCTCTGCATCTCGGCTGTCTATACAGCGATCACGTAGTCGAGCGAATTTTCACGAAAAATTATGCAAATGCCGTGCAGTTTCTCACGATGCGCATAGGTCTAGCTCTACCTGACACCCAGGCGAATTGAGACTCGGAAATTGGAGCGACAAAGATGATCAAGGTTTTCCGAGCCCACAGAGTGCACAAATTTGCATAAACAGCAGAGATTTTTCACTTTGGCGAAAAGGAAAAAGGGTTGCCAATGCTCCTACAAAAAAAAAAAAAAAAAAAAAAAAAGATCCTAATTTGCATATGCGAAATGCTAAACGCAAAACGAAACGAAAGTGAAATTAGGAAAATCGTTGAAAACTCATAAGAGAAGGAAAAACCAGACGACAGACGACAGACGACGAACGACAGAAGACAGGCCGAAGACAATCAACGAACGGCAGGGGTTAATTATGCGCACAGTGGACGGCGCTAGCGCCCGTACCGGAGCTCTCAGCATGCTGGCACGCTCGCACGCTCGGCGCAGCCCATTGCCGGCCGGGGGGTTGAACAGGGACAACAACAGCGCTCATTTGCATAAGATCGTAAATGGAATTGGGAAATAGCAATGCGTCCGTCCGTCTGTCTGTCTCTCGACTATTTGGCCAGGCAAAATTATGTAAATTATGCGTGCAAAAACATTGAGAAAACTTTCTCACGCTCTCAACTCCTTGGCTCGGCAGCCTTTGCTCACTTTTTCAGGTATTTCTCTATAGAGGTGTGTGCGTGTGTGTGTGTAAGGCTTCTTCTGTTTGGGTTGCATCGCAACGGGCAACAAATCAATTTTGATCGATATTCATTTAGCTCTCGATTGATTTACTTAATTTACATAATTTCCTTGCCCGATCGTAAGGACGAGGCGAATAATATGCAAATTCTTTTGGGTAAGCAAAGGAACCTCTGGCGTACCATTGTTACCGGATTCGCTTGAGCTTATGGCAGGCAAATATCTTTTATCTAATTTCCATTAGAACTTTGTCTTCTTCTCTTTGCTCCGCACTTCCCTTGGCTTGATCATTTTTACACAGATTTAGCTGCGATTTTCGCCATTTTCTGTTGAAAATCCGCAACTTTTTGGACTTCAACTTGGCCCGTAGAGCTCCTCCCATCGCTCTGTTCCAACCACCCGTTGGCGTGCCACTCTGCTACAACCACCAAAGCGAAAACTTGCAAAATCGCCAATTGCATTTGCCAAAACTCCGATCGAACCTTCGTCATGGCCATAAAATTGCAAGCATCAGCCAATGCGCAGCGCTGCTCTGACAGGGGGCAAAACCAGGAGACGGAGAAATGGGTATAGCAAAAATAGGAACAGGAACAGGAACTAGAAATTGGCTGAGGTGAGAGCAACCACCGTTATGGACTCTAGATATGCACAGCCCTAACCACCCGGGCGAATTGAAAGTATGAACTTTGATGCATGTTGTTGTTGTCGTTGTTGTTGCTGTTGCTGTTGTTGTTGGCTTCCTTTTGGGCAAAACCATAAAAAAATCCGCAAAACGAGGGTTGTGTCTCGTAAAGTACTTATCGAAAACACCCCAAATACACTCGCCCGTCACACCCTGCCTCAGCCCTGCCTCGCACTCGGCAAAGACATTATTACGCATACATAGTAAATGTGGAGTACGTTGCGTGTGGCATGTACGCACACACACACACACACACACGCATACGCACACATTCATGCACGTTTCTCTGTATCTAGTAATTTTGCAGCAGCATGCAAATTTTTTTGTTTTCCTATTTTCCTTCTACCCCTACTCCGCTTATGTTCCGTTGTCCGAGGGGTTGAAGCGTAAAAGCAAAAGCAAAACCAAAAGCAAAAGCAAAGACGAAGCCAAAGCTTAGCTGCAACAGAGGCCGTAAAAGTCGTGGCTGTTGTGCCACGCCACGCCACACCACGCCACCCCCCAGTTTGCATTCCGCGCCTTTTTTTTGTACATGCTGACAATCTGCAAAGTGAGCATATTGGCTTTCTGCAGTGATGACTGTTCGTTCGCATGTTGACGTATAGCGAGAAGCTTGCTACGTTTTATAAAGTTTACTGATCTTTTGAATACGCCTACAGGGATTATGACAAAATAAATATTTAATATTTATATAAATAAGCTAGATTCAGTGTATTTATATAGCAATATTAATTTAATGAGCTCTTAGAGCTACATTAAACGAGGCTTGGAAAACTATAAATATTACAGTGATAAAAGTAAGACAACATAAGCTGCTCTATAAACTGATTTCAAATATGTGTGGGCGTGGCAAATCATGTCTAGAGCTAAAGTGACAAGATTTAGCAATTGTTGTCTCTGTTGAATGACCTTTACAGCTAAGTCTCTATATAATCTTACATTTGGAGCTGGCAAATCGAAAAAAAAAATTGTCTTTGCTTTAGTTTTCAAGCAAAAGTCATCGAAATTTAAGCACATTTAGCTAATAAGAGTTGACATAGATCCTATCAACTATAAATTGAGCTGATTTTTTATGCAAACGAGTATCATGCAGTCGGTTCAGCACAACTGCCACATTTTTACTTATTTTTTCCTCATATTGATGTTTATAGAGAGAACCACACACACATATGTAGCACATGTATGTTTATATGTTTTTTACCAAGGAGCTGCAAGTTTTTAGGTTTATATTGCTTATCAAATAGATTCCTTATCGCCAGCGCGACTGTAGTCAAATATATGAATATGGAATATGAGCATAAATATTTGTTCAGGGCAGATTAGATATCCTTTCAACTCCGCCAGAAACAAGCTGATTCATAAATTATGGTAAAGGACAGGCAATATGCAACACAGGAAACCCTTTGCAATAGATAAACAACAAAAGTCTAAAGATGAGCTGGCTGAATAATGAAATAAATGAATCGTGTATATTAAGCAAAAAGCTTTAAAGAAACATATGCAACATGCAACATTCAAAATGCTCTAAAAAGTCTAATGAGGAGGGATAATTCTGTAAAAGAAAGTTTCGTTATAGACGGCAATAAAAGTTGACTTTACATAACAAGCAACATATGCAACATATGAAACATATGCAACATGCAACATAACAAAGTTTCATGAAAAACTACAGTAATGATATGTCTATCGCCTGTGCTGGCATCAAATACAACCTCTTCCAACAATATGCAACGTGTAATATGCAACATGCAACATATAAAAACTCTGTGCAGAGCTACAACAGACAAATAAAACAGATCCGTCATATATCGTCTATTGATATATTCTTTATAGACTCAAATAAAACCGAGTTATATAATATCCAAACCTCACTTAAATTTCACAGAGAACAAACATTCAATGTTATTTCCATCATATGTTTGTGTTTTATATATAACGAGTCTCATATTTGGCATAAATTAGACGCCATCGTTGGCGACCCGTATGCACCAGAGGACATCTCATCAAATAAGGGCCAGAGATAGTGTGAGCGCAGTGGACGGGGGGCGCGGGGACGAGGGATAGGTTACGGTTTGGGTATTTTTTACGCGACAGCGGCACCACCATAAACAACAAGACAACAACAACAATAGAAACTGAATAGAAACAACAACAGCCAAAATGAAATGAAAACGCGCACTCGTCGTGCTTCACACGCGCAAGGATCTCGAAAAGGATCCAATTACAATAGATAGCCTGGCAGTTTTTTTTCTATTTTATTTTTTTGACTTGAAATATGTTTGAATTGTCGCATTTCTGCGTGCTATTCTCTGCCATGCCCAAGGAGATCGATTCTCTATTGTCTTTTGTCTCGGCTTGGCTTGGCTTGGCTTGTACGTGTGTCAGACGTTCGCTATTGTCCTTGCGACTCGGACTCGACGCGATGTCCTTTCACTTTCGTTTTCGGGCTTCCTTTATTTGCCGGATCGCCGTATGCTGGACGTGTGTCAGTCAGCAGATCTCCGACGATCATTGTTGTGACTTGTTGACCTTTGTGGTTGAATTAGACACAGTCAATAAGGCATATTGTGAGTACATTCTGGCAGACTGGCAATTATGCAATCGCCTTCTAATTTGAATGCCCCTCACACATTTGAGTTTTGTCTGTTTTTATTTTTTTTTATTTTTTTTTTTTTTGGTCGGCGTGCACACCAGCACAAACTTCAGTTTATGTTGACGTAGGGCCGCCATTGCGCCACATGAGGCATTAACGAGCTGCAGCTACGCACACACACAAACACTCCCACAAATATACATACATACATACATACAGACATGCATGCTATTTTGTCGAATACAAGTTAATGAACTCAAGAGTGGAGCTAAAAAAGAAACTAATAGAATTCTTAATAAATATATTTGTAATTAATTGCCATTAAAAATAGAGTCCAATAAAACCTAATTAAGTTAAGCTGTTCTAGTTCGAAAGCCATAAACAAGTCCGAATGAACACGTCAAATTGAACTAGCATTCTCGACTCTTCAATTATTTGCATTTTTACCAATTGCCTTTTCGTATGCGCAGCTCCAACGCCGCCATCTTTGCGTTCGCTGATCAAGTAAAAAAATAAATAAATAAAACGCAGCACTGCGCCCACGTCCCATGCTGGCGCATTCACGCACTCGCTCTCGCTCGCACTCGCTTTTGCGCTTGCCTCTCCTCACACAACATTGGCATTTTCTTTTACTTTTACACAATTTGTTTTCGTTCTTCGTTTTGTTGACATTTCCAAAAATGTATTATCTTTGTTGCTTTTGCTGCTGCTGCTGCCGCTGCTTATGCTGCGCTGTTGTTGTTGTTGTTCTTCGCTTGATTGGCGTTCGCGTCTGTTTTCGTGGTCTTCGTCTCCGTCTTCGCCTATGCTTGTACGCATTTATTTGTGTACGCGTGTGTGTGTGTGTGTGTGCGTTTCGTATATTTATGCTGCTTGAGCTGTGCACATTGCACTCAAATCGCCGTTTTTGCTGCCGCTGCCTCTGCCGCAGTCTCTGCCACGACTGCAGTCAATTGCGTGGTTAATGCTAATTATTTGTTATTCTACAGTCGCAGCGCTGCTGCTGCTTCTGCCGCTGCTGTTGTTGTTGTGGTTCTTGTTGTTGCTGTTGCCGCATTTCCAAAATGTAGAAACATAGACAAACAAAATTTGGAAGACACGCACAGGAGACCCGAACGTGCAATTGCTAGCGATTTCCGGCTGCACCAACGACTCTGCAGCGACTGTACCACAACTACACACACACACACACAGAAACATGTGCATACACATGTATGCAATATACAATAATTCTTCTTTACAATCATAAATGCAAAATAAACAGCCGCCTTACCTTACTGACAGACTTGCGTATGTGCTTATTCCACTATAAAAACAATCCCAGCAACCGTTATACGAAATATTCCAATCGCAGCTACTCCAAGTGTTCTATTCAATACACACAAACGACTAAATCAAAGGGAGTACAGCAAACAAGTGCGAAACAAGATCCGTTGCTTTTGGCAAGGCATTGCTAAAGAGAGGAGAGAGACAAATGCGATAGAGCGAATTTGTTCGTTCACTCAGAGAGAGCGAGATGCGACTATAAAGCTTTTCTGTTATTGCATTTGCATTTACTTTACATTTGTCGAGGCAAATAAATTTGGTGTGCTCTGTTACTGAAAGAGCAAAAGAGACAGAAAACGAAACTTTAGTCGATTTATGCGTTTGCTATGTTAGTGCAATAGCAATTGCAATTGAATTTAATGTCAATTGCAAATGAAATTTATCAAATGTCAAAGGGACACACACATTTATTAATGTGCGTGTGTGTGTGTGTGTGTGTGTGTGTGTGTGTGTGTGTGTGTGTGTGTGTGGCATTTGGATTGTAATTAATGAGCCGCAATATTTATTCAATAGCAGAGACATTCCGTCTCTTATGCCACTCCAAGATTCGGGTCTGGCTTAATAGCCGCTGCCACTCAACAAAAATGAAAAAAAAAAAAAAGAATCGTCCCAGCCAAATCAACAGAATATATTGTTATTGTTGCATTTGCTTTTGCTATTACTATTGTTGTTGTTGTTGTTGTGTTTACTGCTTCTACTGTGCATACAGAGTTCCTTAAACAATGCTCGACAATTTTTCGGCCACTTGTCAAAATAATTTGCGCCTGTTGAAAAGAAGAAGAAGAAGAAGCTGAAGAAGAACTTGGCCAACAGAATCTTCACGTACCTTGGCCAAACATTTGAGCTGCCGTATCTGTTGTTGGCTCTTACCTGCCGTGCAATTGTTGACTTAGTTGTTTGGCCGTTTTCAGACGTTTGAAAAATGTGTGAAAATTTCTTAAGCAAACTGCATTGCATTAGTTAGGGGGAGCCAGCGATAAAGAAACAGGTAAAAGCATCCATCTATCCACACACTGTATTCTAGAAGCTTGCCAAAGGTGTATATTAATGCGATTAACATTGTGGCTGCATTCACTTGTTGCAACAGCCAAATCTACAACAACAAAATTATCACCTGTGCGCCGTCTAATCGAACAATAAAATGCAAGGGGAATCAATAGTTCAATAACCCAACAGAGATTCAACAATAGAAAACACCAGGAGAATGACGAGAAATTATGGCACACAGACGCACACGCACACACACACGCATACACACACAGAGCGTATAAAGGATATAAACAGGGAAAGATCGCTGAGCAGGCAAAAACCAAAACGAATGCACAAATTGATTGTTGCTTCTGTTGCAGGGGCGGCGGAGTCTTATTATTATATTTGGTTTTCTGTATGCGTGCAGGACACGAGCAACAGGATACACACACAGCACACACGCGCACACGCACATATGCGGGACCCTGGGAAAAGTTAACTTTTTGATTTGAAGAAAAAGTCACACGATGCGGATAGAAACATGTTGCAAGTCAGTCGAAGAGTTGGAGTAGGGGGGCAGGACAGCAGCTGTAATGCAGCAGGTTGCATGGCTTGGGAAAGCGGATAACGCGGCCCTAACAATTGGCTATATAGCAATTATTGACAGTTGGCCAATTGTTTTGGAGCTCTTCATAGACTGATCTCTATGAGCTTGTCACTCTTATAAATTCTGTCAGCCTAGACATGAACCGCACTGTTAGCGAAAGCACGCAAAAAGCTATTTTCGCATAAAACTCTGTTAAGAGATCTGCCAAAATATTTGCACATGAAAATGATAGAAAAATTTAATTTATGAGTTGAGAATTAAAATAGATTATACATTCTAATAATAATTATGGCGAAACTAATGCATCAACAATTTATAATATAATAACTAAATATTCATATATATTAGAGATAATTAAATAGTATATGTATATGTGTAGACTTATATTAATTAAACAAAAACAACAAGCTCTCGCCTACCACATAAAACTATCCCACGAACTAGACTTATGCGCTAGCCCGTTCCAGCTTGCTCTCCAGAAAGCTCTGCTCAAGCTAAGAACACGTGGTTCTTCTGCTGGCTCTTCGCTCAATTTACCTAATCAACACACACGCGAAATAGCAGTAAATAGTAAATAAATAGAACGACGCCGCCAGGCAGCGACAAGTTTTTTCTAGCTGGCGTCAGCTTTGAGTAAGTTTTTGCGCGAAAATGGCGACTTATCTGTGCCAAAAATAAGCAAAAGCGAGCGAAAATACATATGTATGTATGTATGCACAGAAATATATACATATGTACATATGCTTACTATGCATATAGCGTGTGCGAACAAAGCGACAGCTTTCGGCTCCCAGTTAAGCTGATTGGTCGGTTCGCAAATTCGCGAGTGCGAGAGCCGAATCGCAATTTTGCATTTGAAAGCTTCGGCTAGGTTCGGTTAGCGTCGGCTGCTATCGGCTGTGCCGCCGAGTGAAAGATAGAGAGCTGTTATTTTTGCATACCCTATGCAGTGAAGGAGTGAACGGGTAGGGTTAAGGTCACAAGATGTTGCAATCATTTGCGGTAAATTGCTAAAAAAACATAATTTAAATTTAAGCTCATTAAAGGTATTCATTTAAATAATGAAATGAATGCGAAATAGTTGTATGTGGAAGTGGGAAATATTGTTCGAATGTATGCGTTTAGTTCGAACAGGGTATAGCATAGTCGACGACTATTAGCGAGAGCAGACTTGTTATTGTTATTGGCTTGTTTTTTTGCGTTTTTTTTGCCGGCATTTTGCTCTTGAATTTTGTTTTCGCGTATTTCAAGTTCAAGTTTAGGGACGGCGCTGCGTCGCGTTTTCTGCTCGTGTTTTGTTATTTTTGCTTTATTTCTCTGCATTTTTTTTTAGCTTTTTAACGTGCTTTCTGTCTATTATAGTAGCACATAATATGCCCCGCCCGGCTATTGCTGTTGACGTAACTTGTTGCGTCTGTTGTTGTTCTTGTTGTAGGTGGTAGAAATTGCGCAGAAAATTGCGATTAGCTGGCAGAAAAAGCGGAAACAACGCCTTGAACTACATTCCCACATTTGTAACGCAATAAATGTCAATCAATTACTTATTTACATCTGTATTCTAGCATTGAAGTAGATCTTCCGTATTTACATACACACACTTACAATAGTATTTTTTTGCTGGCCCTGGCACAGCTAGAAACGACGAAAACAACAAAATTAATGAAATTTGTTTTCGTTGTAAACAACAGAATCGCTGTTACACACATATACATACAGACATACACACAAAAAGCTTAAGTTTTTTTTGCCAGCGACAACAATTTTTTTCATTTTTCGCTGTAAACAAAAATTGTGTAATAATTAAGTGACCCTGAAAAGTTCTACAGATAAAGCAGCGACCAAATGTCGGTTCTTGTTTTTCCATTTTTGTTGTTTTCATTTTTGTTTTTTTGTTATTTGCAAAATGCTTTTTGGTTTCGTAGAATTCTGAGAGCGTCAATCTAAATGTTCTCTCCCTCTCTCTCTCTCTCTGCCTCTTCCTCTCTATCTCTCTCCCTCTCCCTCTCTCTCTTTCCCGCTCTGAAAAAGGGCTGCTTGATAATTTTATGCTGTCCGCGAGCTTTTGCTGTCCCCCCACCTCCTCCCGGTCATGCTCCCAGCATAAATAACTAGTTGTTGTAATGTAAAAATTTCGGTTGATTTTTTTTTTTTGCTCAGTTCCATGAGTCAGTTGCTTGTATATAGTCGGGCCAGTATATAGCACGGCATGCGTGTATATAGACCTACGTATTTGGGGAGCTTTTACCGCCTCTCTGTGTCGCTGTGCTCAGCATTCAGTTTTTTGAGCAACGGCATCCAGAAACAGAAACAAATTTAGTCGGCCAGCAGGCAGGCAGACAAACAATCCGACCCATTACAGTGCCCAGAGCCCCTAGACCCCCAGACCCTTGGTAACTTTATGTCTACTCAAGGTCAGCTTTAACCGTCGACCGATCTGTCCGAGCCATAAACAAGCCAAGAAAAACTAAAACTAAAACTAAAACTCAATTCTTGTAAGCAGCTCGTCGTAACCTCAACTCGGCACAGAATTTTCGTTTTATTCTTCATAATGGCGCCAACGTCGCGAGCTCGTACGCGAAAACATCAGCGGATTCGCAGTGTATTAGCCAAGTCCAAATAGTTTACCAATGCCGAACAATGTGCAAAATGAGTGTGAGACAGCGTGACACGTGGCTAAATCACAAAAAGTTTGCCAAAATTCAGCTACAAAGTGCAAGTGCAAAGGCAACGAGAAACGCAGCATAAATACATGTATACATGCATGCCTATACATACCTACATATGTCTACATACATATACAATCAACTGTAAAGCAACAGCGACTGGAAATACCCTGCAAAGAAGGTAAGTTCAGCTCGTGGAAGCAAAAATTTCGTATTAGAAAATGAAGTTCAGCTCTAGCTGAAGCAACACATAACTATGCATGTATATATATGTAGGAGCAACCACGCCCCCGTCCCCTTTCTTCTGCTTCTGCTTCCCTCCCGCTCTTTTTGTCAAGCCCTATAAATTCCCATTGTGCTGGACTTGAAAATAATTTCGTTCACATTCAAATTGCTAAAAATAAAATGCTTGGGAAATGTGCGTGTGTGTGTGTGTGTGTGCGTGTGTGTCTAGTTTAGACTACATTTTGGTAAAAACATGGAAAACGCACCCCATGCGCCGTTCATGCCGCTTGCTGTACTTCACTCGCTCAATGTGCCTCGTTTTCCACATGTGCAGCAAAACGGCGAAGGCAACTGCAACTGCAACACTCGAGTGGCGTTGGCGGCACAAATGGCATTGCCAATGGAAGGGGCAAATACATACATACATACATACATATAACTAGCTGATATATGAATAAACATACAGACATACATATGTACATACGTGTAAGCAAACGCCGGCGTGGGCCCTATTTTTAGAAAGCGCATATGTGTGCCTGTATGTGTGTGTGTGCGCATGTGAATGCAGGCGAAATTAACGCGCAAACCAACAAAATGGCGCCCAGTGCAAAGTCAAAGTTGCTCGCGCAGTCGCAGTCGCAGTCGCCATCGACGTCGCTGTCGTCATTAACGCAGCAATGCAACAATGCCTCGGTCCATCATATGCAACGGCCATGCGCAGTGTGTGCGTCGTACACTAAGCGAAAAGTTGGGAGTGAAGCTTCGACTGAAGTGAGAAATAAAATTCAATTCGAGTACATTTGTTATCCTTTTTTTTTATTTAATTTTGTTAATTATATTATTTAATATTATTTTGAACTTGATTCTAGAATTTCAATAAACAGAAAAGAGCAAGCCTTAAAAAAATATAAATTTTATATAATCTAAATAATCAACAAAAAATGCAGTAAAATAGTAAAATACTAAAATACTGAAATACGTATGGAATATATATACTGGTTATAAATTGCACTGTTTTATTTATTTTTTGTTAACAATTAAATTGTTAAATTGTTTTGTTACGAAAAGTTAATTAAATGAAAAAAAAAAGAAAATTGATAAGTATTTACTTATATTAATTTATTTTACAATTTTACAAGTATAATTAAAATACGATATTTACATTATATTACATTTAGAAAAAATTCTAAAGTTACATTGTATTAAAACTAGAATTTTTTGACATATTTTTAATTTTTAATTTTTTTATATTTATCTATAATTTCATTAATTTTTTTTTCCTTTACTTTTTTACTTTTCTTATTCTTATTTTTAGCACATCAATTAGAAGCTTATATACCTAGATATATTAGTAACACTATAGAACTAATCTGACATATATATTTTTATATCAATATATTCTCTGCCTTTCGTAACACTTTTCCAGAAATCTCTTCTAAAGCTGCATACAAAGTTCTCGAAGTCTTTCCGCTTCTGCTTGGGGTGCACTCCATTCGTTTCTCTCTGTTTTTCCAAGTGCATTTGTATTTGTAACTGTGTTATGGTGTTTTTTTCTGCCTGCGCTTCAAATATTTATGGCTGCCTCTGCTCATATAACCTCCCCCACCCCCACTCGTGCTCTCTTTCTCACTCTCTATCTCTCTATCTCTGTCTCTCTTTTTCTTTGCTTGCTTTCGCCTAATTTTTCGTACGTTTTTTATACAACTGCCGAGAAATGTTGCCTTTTGCTATCTCCGCGTGTATCTCTATCTATGTGTGCGTGTGTGTGTGTGCGTGTGCGTGTGTGTGCATGTATCTGCGTGCGCGCTGCAAAAGTGCAATGACCCATGCGTAGCGCGAATGATCGCTGCCCTCCTCTGGCCATGCCCGCTTCCCTCTCCCCCGCCCATTCCACCGGCTCTGCCCTCGACGCCAACACGACGTCGTCGTCGTCGTCGTTGTCTGTGCGGCGGCACAGCTCCGGTTCTATGCCTACGTGCTGCTTTCCATACTCTCTCACACACACACACACACACACATAAGCGCACGCACACACACTCACACATTAGAAGTTGCAGCAAAATGACGCGCGCGATAAATTTTCAACGTTTTCAATTCCTCTGCTTTTCGTGATGTTGTCCCACTCACACACACAGACACTCGTACTCACACAAATAAACTCACACTTATATATTTGGTTTTACAGTTTTGTTGCACTTTTTATTAATTTTGTTTAGTTGCAGCAGTTTTTAATTATTTCCAATTTTTTTGTTTTTGTTTTTTATACACACATATACACTAACACAATCAACAAACACACAAGCCATTCGGGCCTGTTCATATGTACAACATTAAACTAACAAATTCGCTGATATTTCGTATATTTGTGTCCAGCTGTTTAGGATCCACATTGCTAGTCCCAGCTAAAACGTAAAGAAAGGGGCGAGGGCAACAGTGAGAGGAGAGTCTAGCAGCTCTGCAATATTAGAAATATATAAGAAGAGATCTATTAGCAAATTTATGATTTACTCACCTAGAATTACAGGAAATCCTCGATTAGACTCCAATGAACAAGATTGAACATGTTCGTACCGCTTTATCTCACTGTCAGCAAATATGGAAATTGATCGAATTTTCCATGCCCCATTTTCAAAACTTTTTGATTTTGGCTTTTGGTTTTGTTTAAAAAAAATAAATTTTTTTTTTTTTTTAGTTTTATCATATTTCTACATTTTAACTTTTGCCATGGTTTTTGTATTATGAACTAAATATATAGATGTATGTATATATGTAGCCCAAATACGAATTTTCCTGAACGACGTAAGAATCAAGGGAGACTGCTCTAGTCGAATTTGGGCTCTGCCACGCCTCCTTCTGCCTTTTGAGAAAGAAATTTATATATAACTTATATGCAAATTAAATCACATTAATTAATGAGCCTCGCTGAATGGATATAACCCTAAGTCTAAGACATTTAAGCATATAAGATATGAGGATACTGGCTGAAATGATATAGGCAGAAATACCCCTTTTTATATGGACAATAACAAGCAGGAAACACTTTAGACAGATGCATATAATAATATATAAAAATATTCCACTTAATATATAAATAATAATATATTATAACAAACAAGATATATCCCACTTTATATAGGTAATATCAAGCATATAAACATATAATATTTGACAGTTTATATAGACAATAACAGGTAGGCATAGCCCACTTTACACATACCCTATAATATTAAATAATAATATACAAGAACACCCCACTTTATATATATTTGTGCATTAAATAATATATAATTACAGCAGATCTCATAGTTGCCCTTTCAACTCTGCCGTCTCAATGCATCTTGCCGCTTGGTTTTGGCATTTCCACTTCCCCATTTTCATTTCCATTTCCATATCCATTCCCCGTTCCATTAGCAGTGCATTGCGAAAGAGTTTGTCGAGTGCCTGCAAATGCACAATTTATGGCCAGAGCGGAACGACTGAAGGACCAAAACGTTAACCTGTGCACGGCAGGACGACCATTGTCCATTGTCCATGGTCCATTGTCCAGTGTCGATTGTCGGCTTCTGTTTCGGCCTATCTAGGAGCTGCGAGTAAACAAAGCCGTGTTTAGAGTGTGTTTAGAGCTGAGCGCGCGCTGATTGCTAATTGCATGAGACTTAAGGGAAATTTCTCAACATCAAAGATAGATAGTCGGCACTTGAGCTGGCAGCTCGCCAGGTAGCCAGCCAGCCAAAGGGTTAGCACAGCTGAGAGTTTTCCATTTTCCAGTTTCCCTTTCCATTTCGCATTTTGCATTTTGCATATGCCTGTGACAAATGCCTCGCTGCAGACATTGATTGAGCTCTCACGTCAGTCCCGCTCGATAATGATAATGAAGACGAAGCCGGAGAAGAAGAAGATGATGAACTGATGCTGCTCGTCTGCCTGGCCGTTTGCTGTTTTCTGAGAAATCGGCTAACCAGAAACTTTGCTCAATGGTAATGAGATGCCAAATGTAGAGGGAAGGGTTATATGGAAGGGTCATAAACTGGGCAAACTCTTTTTCCCTAGAACAGTTTTCGCACTTTTTCGCAAAACTCGGCGTTCAATAAACATAAAAAAAAATCAGAAACCCTTTCAGTTCGCAGCTATCATAAATTTTCCATTTTCCTCGAACATGTGTTGTGTGGCTGGACAGAGCCGGAGTCGACAACGGAGCCAAAGCTGATTAAAACTTATCGCAAAAATATTTGCTATTCGCCCAACAATTTGCTTAGTCGCCTCGAGATTTGGCGTCTTTTGTTGCATTGTTGTTCGCGTGGGCAGAGGTTGAAGACATCGTCAAGGTCAATTGAATTGAATTGCAATCGGTGTGGGCTACCTGCCCATTGACTCGGGGTCTGCGGTTGGATTATGTGCGGATTTCCATAGAGCTAATCCCACATAATGAATATAATGACTATATCTGTGCATAGTCAGTCCGAGCGATTAGCACACAGCAAGCGAAAATAGAGTCAAGAAGTCAGCAGAGTCAATAGAGGATAATCCGCCTTACGGGTTTCTCCCACTCCATGTGGCTGTCTGCAAATCTCTTTCGACAGTTTCCGGACTCTCTGAATCGCCAGCTCTTATCTTCATTCTAGTAATGAAAATGCAACTGCAACAACTGCAACCAAAAACTTTCTCTGCAACTGCGCCGAAATTGAGGAAAAACACTGCTGATAAGATTAGAGAGAGCCCAACGGGCACACACACGCAGACAGACGGACGGACAGACGAACGAACGAGCCCGGAGACATTATGCCATAGATTAAGTGTGTTGCAAGTCGGCACAGTTCAGTTCGCTGCAGCTTTTACAATTACTTAGTTGATACACTGACTGAAGAGTATTTAGAAGCTGATGTAAAATTTAGGAAAATTTTATCATTTATTTATTATATTAAAAAAATTTTAAAAAAATTTTTAATTGAAATATTCAAAAATATTTGTATTAAAAATTCTTTTTTTTTTTTTTTTCCTTAAAAAGCATATATGCTTAAAATTCACTATAAATAATTTATATCATATTATTATATATTTTAATATATATATTTTATATTTTAATATTAAATTAAATATTATATATTTAATTTTATATAAATTAAATATTATATAAAAAGGCTACTAAATATTCGCATCATTTATATAGTCTGCAATTAATTTTAGAGTAGAGTATTTCATATTCGCCTTACAGTTTTTCTATTCACTTCAGCTTTTCATATTTATTTGGTCTTTTTTATCAGCAGCTCGTCGAGTTGAATGCACTTGCGAACTAGTTTAGTTTGGATTCAGATTTGGCTACATAAAAAATAGAAAAAAAATATATATGTATGTATGTGCATACATGTATGTATGTATATAGTCTAGAGCATATAGAAATCTGTATTTAACAAGCAAAGGGTCTGCCAAAAACGTCAGTCGAAATTGTGTAGTGAATGCGGTTGACCTTAATTTCCCGGCCATGATTAATGAATCAGCCAAGTATAAAAAATAAAAAAATAAAACAAAACAAACAACAAAAAGCAGCGACCACAAAAGCAGCGCCAGGAGGAGGAGTAGCAGGAGGATGAGCAGTTGGAGAAATTAATGATGCACAATGTGCAACAAGCCAATTGCCAACTAGCGGCAGGTACAGCATTCTAGCATTAACAACCAAAGGGCAGCTCCAATAATGAGCATAATTATGTAATTAAACTGAGCCGAGTGCAAGAAATGCCGCAAAAAGACTCCAACTACTGTTGCCATATGCCAGCCACGTGTGTGCGAGCGAGAGCACAACAGTTGCACATGCGCGACTGTTGCGGATGCTGAATAAATGTGTGTGTGCTTGTGTGTGCGTATGCAATGTGCATGTGTGTGTGTGTGAGCGTATCAGCGAATCGCAGCGCGCTATAGCTGCTGCAATTCCACTGCACACACACACGCACACATACATGCATATGTGCACTTTTATTTAATTAAACTCAGCAGCAGCTTCACTTTAGTCTAGTTACAGCTGACATTTGTGACGTCACATGTACTGTTAACCGTTACAAGGCCAACTAATTTGCATATGAATGTAAAAAAAATAAAAGAATATTAAAGAATCAACCAAATCATATGCAAATTTCCAGCTACCCTTTCTATGCAACAGCAACAACAACAACAACAACAAAAAGTGCATCAATTGCATCGCATTCAAAGGTCTATTGATTGCTGAAGGTCGGCTGCCAGGTCTTAAGGTTTCTAAACTCAATTTGCATAACTTGAGCGAAATGCCAAATAAATTGTCCTATTTCAATTTTGAAATGTCCGTTGCTGCTTCTTCTGCTTCTTCTCCTTGTTCTTGATTTTCTTCCTCTACCTACTAAACGTTTTATGCGCTTAGCAGATTGGCATTTTATGGCTTGCATAATTAGTCGAAATTCAAAAAATTAACTGAAGCTAAGGCAAAAGACGAGAAATATAATAAAAAAGGGTTTCTCATTCGTTGAGCAGTAAGGCTAACCAGTTTATGCTGCCAGCGCACAAAAACACACACACACACACACACACACAGGCACACACACATGCGTACAACCTGCAGCCAGTTGGACAACTTTGGCCAGTTTAACAAAAAACGAAAAAAATAACGAAAAAAATGCAGCCGCCACACTTTTTATTTTTACACATACGCCAAAAAGAGCACAAACACACACACATGCATAGAAGCCTCAGTACACACACACACACACACATGCACAGGGACAGGTTACTCTCTTGGGTGCCAATAGCAGCAGCAGCAGCAGCAACAGAAGCAGCCGCCATATGCAAGCCTCACCCACACATACACACACACGCACACATGCACACACATAGTCAGCCAGCCACGCGGCGAGCGCAGCGCAAAAACGCACACAACGGCTGCAGACTGCAACGCCGACAGCGACGCGTCGCTGCGTCGACTGCGCTGTCATACAAGTGAGTGAGACAGCAAGAGGGTTGTGACGAGCCGTAGCACAGTTTTGTGGCTTTTCCTTGGCGAGTGTTATATGTGTGCAGGGGAAGTGCGTGCGTGTGTGAGAGGCATATTTCTGCTGTGCTCTATGTGTGTCTCTCTATGTGTGTGTGTTTGAAAATGTGCGCGCTGTCTCGCTCGGGAAATTTTGTTTTCAATGACTTGCTGCATACGAGCGCCGTGGCAGTTTTATTCAAGTTTGAGCGCTCGAATCTGCAACAACGTGCCACGCAAAATTCAACAAAATTAAAAAAAAAAAAAAAAAAAACAACAACAAAAACGCAAAATTCGTACGTGTCGCAGTTCTTTGGGCACTCCAAACAAAATCTAAAAAAAATCAACAAAATATTTTTAAATTAAAATTTAAAAATAGCAACAATTGGATAAACTGCAAACAGCATTTTTGGGATTTGTTATTCAGTGGCTCTGTGTGCGTGTGTGACTCGCTAAAAAAAAAAAATAAATAAATATACAAAATTTATTGCAATTATTAATTAACGAACTTCAAACGAAAATCTGGCAAAAATTCACAAAATTTTCTTATTGAATGTGACGAATAATAAAACAAGACAAAAGGAACTCAAATTGCATGGAAAGGCAAAAACAAAAACTTGTTCAATAATTCATTAAAAAGTGACATTTTGCAATTGAACCTCGCTTCAATTGCCAATTACAACAATTTTTGTGGTAAGATTTTAGTATATAAACAAATATTCAATTAGTTTTTCTTTTAATATGTTTGCTTCCTTTTTTGTTTTTAACGTAAACATCTTGGCTTTACGCACAATTTCGCAATTAAAAGTTTTTTATTTTTTTATTTTGGGTACGTGTAAAAAATACAAAAATACCAAAGGGC